ATACATATTTTTGTTTTTTTAAAGACAATTATTATAAATATTATTTGACTCAATGGTAAAAAGCAGATACTCTTGATAAATAAAAGTAAACTTAGTATAAATAGTTATTTATAAATGAAAATGAATCATATTTAAAAAAATTCTTTCTTACAAGTCCACCAAGCAAAATTGAAAAACAGTAGTAAAGGCTACCTTAAACACATGACCTTTCAGAAAGCTGTAACTTACTTGTTCCCTGAGAGGAAAGCTGAGCATGTTGGGAGGCATCATCATTGCTGCATGTTTTTTTTTTCTTCTCTTAGACACAATAGAGCATCCTTTGTGACTGTGTAACTAGACATAGGGAACTGGTTACAAGTTATGTTTCCTGTCTCTACCCAGTCTGACTAAAAGCAAAAATGAGGTACTAAGAATAGTGTGTTCTTCTTTCTCTCATTCCTTCCTCATATTTAGACATTCATTCATATACTCATTCACACCTTTATTCAGTGAATATTTCTGGGGTACAAGTTGTGTGCCAGGCATTAGCAAATTGGTTAAAGCATGGACTAGGTTTTAGTGGATTTTATAGTTTCTTTTGTGGTACTTCATTCTCAATGTAAGAATTAAAATGTTCTCTCTTTAAGATTAAATTTTGTATCTTTAAAAAAAAGATTAGATTCCTTTGTGAGGAAAGAATGCCTTTCTGAGTGAAAATTCCAAGCATATGGAATGCTTTAGACTCTTTTGGAAAGAGAGCTGGGAGTCTGAGTGAGAGGTGTTCTTAGGAACCCTCTGTTACACCCTCATTCAACAGGAGTGAAAGAGGTGGGAGGGGAGTGGAAATGTCTATAAAAAGAATTCCAGAATGTCTGTAGTGGGAAGTGGAACTTAGTATTGCAGAAAAATCAATGGACATTCATTTACATTTATACTACTTTGATCTTTTTGCCCTGAAATATTTCAATGATGTAATAAAGCAGTGATATGACACATTCATGATAAACACCCATCATTTAGCTACATAGTGAAGAATAAGGCAAAAAAAAAAAAAATGGTGATACCCTTATCAGTTCATAAATTGCACTCGGTTACTTTATCTATGTTGGTTGTAGCTGACTCTCCAAGGAAAATTTTTATTTTGTTTAGATGAGATAATTTTTAATATTTAATATTATATAATAGGCCTAAAAAAGGTAGAGGGGCTTCAGAAATCAAAAACCTGTTATCTGTGCTTCCTGACATAGTATATTGCTATTTAAAATATTTGAAAAGTACATAATGCGATTATAACAGTTTTATTGAGGTATCTATCAAATGGCATAAAGTTTACACATTTAAATTTACACAGTTTAGTGGTTTTGAGTGTATTGATGAGTTGTGCAAACATCACTAATGTCATCACCCAAAATGTAATTTTATTTTTGAACTCTCTGTAAGGAAACACTGCTGAAAATTGAAGTTTTTCTTAAGAAATTATCCTTTTACAGAGTTTTTTTGGGGGAGATGATGAAAAAATTTAGAAATGAATATTGGTGAGGTGATGTCCAGTCAAGATGGAGGTAAATGGGTCCTGTCTTCTAGCACAACCATAGCAAAATTACAGCTGAACTACAGAACAGCTATCACTCAGTACCATCAGAAAACTGAGCTGTATGGAACTCTGACAACTAAAGAATTAAAGAAACCTCATTCATCCAGATGGGTAGGAGGGGTGGAGATGCTGAGACGTGGAATTGGCTGGTCCCGCACCCACATGTAGTGGATTTAAATTGAAGGGATATCTTGGGAACAAGGGGATCTCAGTCGCACACCAGACCACTCAGCCCAGGGTTTCATTGCAAGGAAGGTAAGTCCCCATAACTTCTGGCTGTAAAATCGGTGGGGGTGAGGTTGGGTTGGCAGAAGAAATTGCAGGATTCTAAGGCATCTCCTTTTGGAGGGCCCTGCACATGGACTTACTCAGACTCACTCCTACTAGGCTCCAGCACCAGGGCAGCACTTTGAAGGGCACCAGTGGCATATAGAGGTTGGGGGGGCACTGAAGTGTCTGGCAAGAGCTTGGGCACAGCTTCCTCCAGGACAGAACTGCAGACAGTGGCCATTGTTCCTTTTCTGAGCCCTCTCCCCTCCCTGTCCCCTCAGAGCCCAATGTGGCCACACCATATCTGAGACTTCATCAACCTGGCTCAGATGATTAGCCCCGCCCTGATGATTACCTAAGGCTCTGCCCCATCCAAAGTATGGGCCCACCCAAGCTGGTAGCAGTAGCTTTTCCATATGAATGGCTGGGCTGGGCTAGCAGCAGGCTTCAGACCTTCCTAAAGCTGCTCAAACAAGCATCAGCTGAGCCCAGCTCCTGTCCCTCTCTCTCAGTGGTCCCAGGCCTGGCACCAGCAGCAGCCATCTGCAGGTTGGCAGACATTTATAGCTTAAGCCAAGTGGCACCAGACATAACAGGTGGTAGCTGACTCTGGCTTGTAACACCTGGGAAACCCCAGAGCCTGTGTACCCAGTGGACAATAACAGACCACGCTGGAGCACCAACACCCAACTGACTCCAAAAGCTACTGAGGGAGGTGATTGGTGGCCAGTGGTCACTGCCAGTCCTACCAGCTGCCTGGCCTGGGTAAATCCCTCCCATTGACTGGCTGACAGCAGTCAAGACTCAACTATAAGAGGTGGGAGTACTTGGCCCACATGGAGGGTGCACCTCAAATATTCAGCTTGGGGGATAGGGGAGGCTGTGCCACTATCCTACAGGGCACCTACTACATTATGGTATGCTACATGGAGTCAAAGCAGGTCTACCTAATACATAGAAACAAACATAGGGAGGCTGCCAAAGTAAGGAGACAAATAAATGTGGCCCAAATGAAAGAACAGAACAGAACTCCAGAAAAAGAACTAAACAAAATGGAAATAAGCAATCTATCAGGTGCAGAGTTGAAAACACTGGTTGTAAGGATGCTCAAGGAACACAGTGGGTACTTCAACAGCATAAAAATGATCCAATCAGAAATGAAGGAGACACTGATTGACATAAAGAACAGTTTACAGGAAATCAACAGCAAAGTGGATGAAGCCGAGAATCAAATCAGTGATTTGGGATATAAGGAAGCATAAGACATCTAATCAGAACAGCAAGAAGAAAAAAAGAATCCAAAAAAATGAGGATAGTGTGAGCAGCCTCTGGGACAACTTCAAGCATTCCAACATTCACATCGTAGGGGTGCCAGAAGGAGAAGAGAAAGAACAAGAAATTGGAAACCTATTTGAAAAAATAATAAAATAAAACTTCCCTAATTTGGTGAAGGAAATAGACATACAAGTCCAAGAAGTGCAGAGACTCCCAAAGAGGATAGATGCAAAGAGGACCACACCAAGATACATGATAATAAAAATGCCAAAGTTTAAAGATAAAGAGAGAATCTAAAAGCAGCAAGAGAAAAGCAGATACTTACTTACAAAGGAGTTCCCATTAGACTGTCAGCTTATTTCTCAAAAGAAACTTTGCAGACTAGAAGGGATTGGCAAGAAGTATTCAAAATGATGAAAAGCAAGGACCTACAACCTAGATTAGTCTACCAGCAAAGCTATTATTTAGAATCAAAAGGAAGAAAGAGCTTCCCAGACAAAACAAACAAACAAACAAAAGAAAAAAAAACAAAAGCAAAAAACCCACAAAACTACAGGAGTTCATTGCCAAACCATTATTATATGAAATGTTAAAGGGATTTATTTAAGAAAAAGATCAAAACTATGAACATTAAAATGGCAATAAATATATAATTATCAACAATTGAATATAAAAAACAAACTGAGCAAATAAGCAGAACAGAAACATAGGTAGGGGGAACATGAGGATGGTAGTCAGTGGGGACGGGGCTCTGGGATAATGGGAGAAAAGGTAAAGGGATTAATAAATACAAGTTGGTAGTTACAGAATAGGCAGGGGAATGTTAAGAGCATCTCTAGGAAATGGAGTTGGCAAAGAACTTATATGCATGACCCATGGACATGAACAAAGGAGTGACGATCGCTGGAGGGAGTGGAGGATACTGAGGATAAGGAACATAAGGGGGAAAAATTGGAACAACTGTAATAGCATAAAAACTTTAAGAATAAAATGAGAAAAAGATAGTGGTGATGGTTGCACAACATTTTAACTTAATGACACTGAATTTGTATGCTTAAAATATTTAAAGTGGTAAATTTTATATTATGTATATTTTTGCATAGTAAAAGTGAATATCCATTTACGTGAAATCAGAATTGGTGGCTTAACTTTGAAAGTTTTTGGAAACTTCAATCTGAACCATGTATGGTCCCAGTTTTTCTCAAGCATGTTATAGCAAGTATATTCTTATTGGTTAAAAATCACGTTACTAATTTTCAGACTGAAAACAGACATTAAAATTGTTGTAGGTATTTTTATAGAAATTTCAGTAGAATTAACTGAAGAAGTAAAGCTTTTCTTTGCTTTAATTTTGCTGTTTTTGAGAAAGCAAGATGTCAAACAGTGCAGAACCATTATCTAAAGGGGGGGGGAAGTAAATATGAAATACACATGTGCACATGCACATGATAATATAAAGTATCTGTTTACAGATGCATAAAGTCTCTGGAAGGAGTCAGGAGAAACAGTAATGTTGATTGTTCTGGGAGGGGAGAGCTGGGTGGCTGGGGTTCATGGGTGGGAGTTTTATTTTCCAATATATGGATATATTACCTATTGAAACATTTTATTTCATTTTTTTAATTGTTCAATTACAGCTGTCCCCATTTTCCCCCCATTACTCCCTCCTGCCCTACCTAATCCTAACCCCCACCTTCCCCATTGTCTTTGTCCATGGGTCCTTTATATCTGTATTGAAATATTTTAAAAAGTTTATTATCCTGATCTCAGAATCAACATGACTATATTCCTTCCTACTGTGCTTTGTTACAGGAGATTGTATTGAAATTGAGATTGGTTTGAAAATGAGCTACATTACTTTAAGAAGTTGTTTTCTTTCTAGGACTTGATTATGGATTGAGTTTACCACTTGGGGAAGACTATGAACGGAAAAAACATAAACTAAAAGAAGAATTGCGGCAAGATTACAGACGCTATCTAACTCAGGTAGAGTTCTGTTAATTGGTTGGATCTTATTCTTCAGAAGTCATCTAAATTTTCCTAAGATTAGTTGTATGTGTTAATTTTTAGGTTTTCAGTAGCATCAGCAATGGGGTATTATAGAGAAAGTTGAGTAACATGTATGATATTGACAAAGAAAAAAGTGTTGGAGAGCTGGTTCAAGGGAATAACAGAGTCTTGATTTTTGGCATAGGACAGTGGGCTTCAATTTTAAATGAAATTTTAAATTCTGGTTGTTTATGTTTTCTGTAAAATTATGGTTTAAGATAGCCCAGTTAGGATTTCCTACTCCTCTATTCCCCCAACCATGTGTTAAAATAACACATGGAGTTCTAGTTGCTAATTATTTTCCTATGAGATAAGTTTATAAAATTTTATTTAACATATTTAGCCCCCAGAGACTTTGCTTTATGATTTAATCTGTATACTCATGCAGAACTCTTATTTTGTTAAATTTGTAATAGCTAAAGATTTAAGTTTTAAATGCAATTAACACTTTAGGTTATAAAATTATTTTAAACAAGCATGATGTTTGTAGTCATACTAAGATATTCTTTATTTTTTAACTACTTTATAACATTTGTTCCAAATTTATAAATTCTCTTTTATTTATCCTGATTTACACATGATGAGAAAGGACTTTGAATACATTTTATTGGTTTGTTTCCCTTTACTTTAGGGTATTACAGAAGCAAAGAGAAAGGTAGGGTTGCCTGCAAAATGTTCTTTAGATTTATTTATTTTTTTTTAGGTCTGGTAGCTTTCAATCATTGGCATCAGTGATATTGCTTTTCCCCCATGAGAAAAATAGCTTTATCTGTAATTGTGAGAGTTTTGAATGCTACCATTTTGTATTTTTGCATTTAGCAAGATGACAGCATAATTTTTCATTAATTCAGTTAAGTATTCTTTTTGATTCTTGCTTTGCATTTGTTTTTGTTGCTTTATTATGCCATGCTTCAGAAATACTCTACATCTATTATAAGTCCATTTGTTTTCATCATGCCAGTTTTGTTCTCCAAATTATACTATAATCACATTAATATTAATAAAATAATAGGATATTCAAGATATTCTAAGATGTTTTTGAACTACATGTTGTCCAGATTTGGATCACTTGATATTTTTGCATCCAGACACGTGGATTGCATTTGTAAATTTATACTGGAAAACAAAGACAGAGTTTTATAATTTAATAAAACAGTTTTTAAAAAGAATCTCACACACTCATTCATCATTCCACCAACACTTTGTAAGCATTTACCGTGAAGATAAATCAGGTATGAATCCTGTCTTCAAGGGACTTAGACTCCAGCTGCAGAGATAACATTTATGCAATTCAGAAAGTGATGACTCTAACAAGAAGAATAGAATGATTAGGAAAGGCGTCAAGGTGTTATTTTGTAAGACATTGTAGGATAGGTAGAATTGGATGTTAAAGGGTGAATGGAGGGAGGAGAGGAAGCTCTTCAGATAGAGAATATAGAATAAAGGAGGACTTGGGGGTAGACTTTAGCTTTGTATGAATGAGGCATATTAGGTTTACCAGCCTGACTGAGTTGGATTCTTTCTGACAGTAGTAAGAAGTAATGACATAGATAGAGAGGATAGGATCCAGTTAGAAGTCAGTTGATTTTTAACTTGGTGTGTGAAAGGCAGTGGTGAAACATTTACCTCCGTAAGTAACCTGTGAGGAGCTTGGTAACTGTTTTAGGACAGTTAGTTAGGACAGTTAGTCCTAAATCAATACTACAGATTTTTAACTGATCTCTTCCATTAATTCTTAGGTCATTCTCCATTCTGCTTTCCAGAATGATCCTGCCCTTTACCTGTTTAAATACTTCAGTGCCTTTTCACTGTCTTCAGGATAAAAATTCGAATCCTGTAGGACGGCACGTGATGTCTTTTATGTTCCAGCCTGCCTCCCTGGCCTTGTACCTCATTATCCTTCCCACTCGTCTCTTTATTGGGTGGTGTTTTCCTTTGACAGCTGCCATTTTCACTTGTGGATTTTACATTTCTTTATAGATATATGACTTTGAAAAAGAACAGTGGTGGGAGGCATAGGAAAAAATTGCCTTTGTGAAAGGGAAGGATCAAGGAGTACAGATCTTTAAATTCAAAGGGATGTGAAGGTGTTTTGGTGTTGGATTATCAAGAATGTAGTTGTGGTAGAGGAATAATAGTTCCCTAATATGAGACAATTTTGGTTGACATCTGAGAAAGTGGGAGTTAAAGGAAAGAGAAAGTTACATAGGATGAGTGAGGAGGAAACTCCAGTGGTTTCTGCAGCACTGTATCTCTTGTGGATCCCAAAATCTAGGCTTGTTGATTGCATGGATATTAAAAGAGGAAAATAAGATCTTTAAATTTTCTCAGTGCGAACCATGAAAACAAATAACTACCATCTCTACCATCTTCTTTCCTGTTTTTAGAATAAAAGACGCTTGACCATCTAACAATACAGGAAGAACATATTCTAAGAAGAACAGTTGTTAAACTGAATCAGTAAATTTATAATTTCAGCCCAGGCCTCTCTCCTGAACCTCAGATTTTTCTATATGGTTGCCTATATGACATTTTCACTTAGAAATCTAATGGATGTTTTAGGTTGAACATGCCTAAAAGGAAGTGCCAGATTTCTGTTTTTCCCACTCCCATTTCCTAGAAACTGGGACTACCTGTAGCCAGTTCTTTTTATTTACTTATTTTGTTAAAGCACTTATCACCTTCTAATGCACCATTATGTTTATTATTTTTTTTGTCAGTTTCCCCTTCTTGACTATAAGCTTCTGGAAGGCAGGAATTTTGTGTGTTCTCTTCCCCAATGAGTCTCAAATGTATCAAACAGTTTGGGACATTGTAGGCACTCAATATTTATTGAATGAACACGTGAATGACTAAAATTCAGCTCTTGGCAACACTTACTGTATTGCCTTTATTGTTTGTTTGATTTTTTCATTTATTGAAAATTTCAAACATCATCTTGGACCTGGATTGAGAGTGGAGAATTGCTCAGTAAAGGAGTGAGGTGCTCTCTCTCTCTTCCCAGGTTTAGAAATCAAATGTGTTTTTTAATACACGTATAACTCTACAAAATGGTTACGTTTATAGTGTACTTTGGTATTTAGGGATTTAAACTGTCATATTATTTCCCTTTACAAATAAATTTAGAGTTCTACCAACTTTCAAATTAGCTTTTGTAGCATAAATTAAATTATTCATAAATTTAGATTCAATGAAACATCAATTTAGTTTTATTAATCTGTTTCTGTAATGTTTTTAAAATAACTTTATTGTAGCTGTTAGTACATTGTTTGGTATTTATTTGTATACATGTTTATTTCTCTGACTGTATTGTAAATCTCTTGAATATAGGGAACATATGCTTATGTTTGTCTCCCAACCACCTTAAAAAACCCAAAAACTATTAGATGGTCAACAATTGCTTTTTCAGTGAATAAATGAGAAGCATGGAGCTGGACAGGTTATTAACTACTGATTTTTTAATCCTTATAACCTACTCATATAAATGACACCCCTGTTTTACAGACAAAGAAACTGAGGCAGAGAAATTAAATAACTTATTCTAGATTATATACTATTAAGCAGCAGTACCAGAAAGTTGGGGATTGTGTAAATTTTTTACTAATTCCTTGTGTTTGCTTTATAGTTATTCAAAGACATTACATTTTTTTACTTTCCTGGATCCTTTTACCAGCTTTGGTAGGTAGGCAGAGCAGATACTACCCCATTTTACAGAAGAAGAGAGCCTAGGTCAGGGAGGTCAAGTGACTTGCTCAGTGTTGCACAGCTGAGAAGTGTTGGGGCTACTCCTGGAGCCTAGGCCTTTTGACTTCTAGTCTAATGCTCTATCTACTACACTGCATTGCCTAAATGGTTATGGAACAAAAATGGGGGGAGGCACAAAGAAAATGTCTTCATAGTTTATATCTTCTTGCATTTTTAGTACATATCCACTCATAATTGCAGGAAATATAGAAAGTAAGATTATTGCAGCATGCATAGGATATTTGTGAGGGAGTTTAAATTTTCCTTAACAAAAGACTTAATAGGACATTGAGGATGAAGACTATGTGCTTAGTTAGAAGAGGGATATGAATTAAGAAATCATTTCTTTTTTGTCTCATGCTTTATAAAATCATCTTAAATCAATAGATATGTATGTATTACAGATGAAAATTAAGACCTGATCCTCCTCTTCAGAGAGCTGTTGATTGGAGGAAAGTTCTTTTTTTTTTCTAATTATGATCTCTCTAGATTGATAGTTTGTGTCTTCATCTCCATTTCATTCTTTTGCTCTGTATAATGTAATAGCTTGGAATATTGAATTTAAAGACAGTTTATGAAACATATTTTATAAAGGCAATTAGATAATATGTTTTTTTAATGTGTATACATACAGAAAAATTTTCTATCCACGAGTGAAACAGATCCATCTACTCTGGGAGTTTCTCTTCCTATTGGTGACAGGTTATCTGCCAAGGTAGGTGGATAGGAGTAGTTATTCCAGGTAGCAGTTTTATGAGGGATCTAAATCATGAAAGGACATATTCCTGATTTAAATTCAAACAGAAGATTATATCAGTTTCTATACTTGAAATGTATATGTTTTCCAAGGGTCTGTAGAGTCTCTAGTTGTGCTGTTTAAATTTTTTTGAACATTATCTTTGTAACCATGTGATGTGGTTTATTTCTTTACTATGTTGATCAATTGAACATTCAGAATTCGCATTTTCCAGCACTGGTTCCTGAGCTATGAAGTTTATGCTCTGTAACACAGTGAGATGAGTGGATGGGAGAGTATACTGTGCTTTTATGTAGGATGAGGGTGTGGGGAGATTGGAAAGTCTATTTCTGTCACTCCACAAATACATGTCCATATTCTTTAGAGGTTTCAAAAGAAGTTTTACATTATGATACTTTACTATTTATGATAATCCAACCTTTTTATGTTTAAATTACAACAAAGATTTGCCGTTGGCCACTGTGGCTCAGTTGGTTGGAGCATTAAATCAAAGGGTTGCAAAGTTTGATTCCCAGTCAGGATGCATGCCTAGGTTGCAGGATAGGTCCATAGTCTGGGTGAGTAGGAGAGGCAACCTACTGATGTTTACCTCCCTATCCCCTGCCCCTTCCCTTCTCTCTAAAATCGATAAGGGTGTCCCTGGGTGAGGATGGATTGATGAATGGATAGATGGATACTGACTAACTAAATAAAAACACAACAATGATCCTTCTTTAGCCTGGGAAAGAATGGTTAGCAGCAGGTCTTTAGGGAGGGGGTGAAGGGCTGGAGCAGGAGATAGCCCTGAGAGGGAAAGAAGGAAAGTAACCTGGTCAGATCTCCTTGAGAACATGCTAATGACAAGCTTCCTAGCACACACATTATGTGTTTACTAATGGGAAAGGTTTGTTTATGATGCTTTTGACATAGCACACTTGGATTGCCTAGGATTGCTGTTGTTAAACCCAGAATCCATGGATCTGTGGGGAATGGCTCCTTGGAAAATGTAATCTGAGCTGTGTAACTACTGGAGTGTAAAATGGAGATGTTTCACAACCAAAGCAGCTCTGTTTTATGAGAGACCTCATGTGTTAATCTGGACCTACGTATGTTGTAATGAACATTTTAACATGACAAGAAAGGGGAATTACATTGATGGTCTCTAACCTCCTGCTTCTCCTGTGCCTTGCAACTACTACTGTCCTTGAGATTATTAGTAAAACTTGATTCTGGGCAAGATCTCTGATTTGTATGTCTGATTTAACATGAAGACAGTTTTTCCTGAAACTGAAGTTAACATTGCCTTTTGGTGTCCATTTCAAGGAAAGATTGAAACTTGAACGCAACAAAGAATACAATCAATTTCTCAGGGGTAAGGAAGAATCCACTGAAAAATTCAGACAGATAGAAAAGAGTACTGAGGTAGGTGTTGCTTTTAAAGTAAATCTTTAACACTACAAGATGAATATTTTATACTTGAAATATTTTTATGTTAGACATATCAATTGATTTTTTAATGTATTATTTAAAAAATATGATGAATTGAACTAAACATGGGACATTTAAATAATTTAGTTTTGTAAATGGTTTTATCTCATGTTGAAGAATTTACCCTACTTTTTAACTTTAACTTCATGGCCAATTTTAAAGATTGGTTTTAAGTTATTTTCATTTATTTTTAAGTGTGTTTTTTATATTGACAATTTCTAGCTATGTATATTTTTTCCAAACTTAAGGATGGTTGATGTTACTAGGACCAAAAAATTTACCATCTCCTTTATTCTTTGTGTTGAGAAAGAATTTAATTTGAAATATTTCAAAGCAATATTTAACTCCTAAAGTATGCTCAATGTCTCCTGGGAGAGGAATTTACATTTAGTTTATTTTCTCTTTATGTAGCCACTTATCCATTACTGTTGCCTGTATATTTGATAAATATTAGGTGTTATTAAAGAATAAATTTCCTGAAGTTATTTTTTTAAAGATAAGATATCTCTTATGGGTAATTAAGCCTAAGAGTTGAGATGATAAATAGACTAAGCATCATTTGAGGGTTTAATTACCTTGTAAGTAATATTATCTCATGAAGATGTTTCTTTTTTATTTTTTTAATTGACCAGCACAAAAGTCAAAGAAATAAAAAACCTATTAGTCAGGTTAAACCTGATTTACCTTCACAAATACAAACATCTTACCAGGATTCAGAGGGTCCTGGGAGAGACATTTTAACTCCTTCAGACACATATGAAGAGCTTTTAAACCAAAGACGACTAGAGGAGGACAGATACCGACACCTCGATGATGAAATTGAATTAAGGAATAGAAGAATCATTAAAAAAAGGAATGAAGAAGTGGATATTTCCAATAAAAAACATCAAAGGTATGCCGGCAAGGTGGACATTCCAGACAGAAGATTTGACAGATTCCATGACTATCGCGTCTTGGACAGACGATATCATAGACCAGACCAAGATCCTGAAGTAAGTGAAGAAATGGACGAGAGGTTTAGATATGAAAGTGATTTTGATAGAAGACCTTTGAGAGTATATACAAATGACAGGTATTTACAACTTCATTTTCATTTTCTTTACTTGCTTAGTATCGTTGTTACTTTTCATCCCTATGTTAGGGAGAAACAGTTTCATTTGATTTACATATTTAATTCTAAGATGCTGTCAGCTTTAAGTTAAACCATTATTTAATGTGCCCCTGAGGGAACAAAGGGAACACCCAAGATGGGAAGAAAAGTACCCTGTCATAAGGCTGAAACACCGAATAGCTACAACCTTTATATAAAATTAAAAGGGAAATAAACTTCCCCACAGAAATGGACAGAAAAGAATAACTTCCATGTCTCAAGTTCGGCACTGAGTAGAGGGAGTAAAAAATAATTTCCTTGAGAATTGAATGGTCAGCCAGTACTGATTCAAGTTTGCAGTCCAAATTCATGTTGCCAGGATTGTCCAGAAAAACACACAAAAAACCTTGGGAGAATTTGAGTTGTCTCAAATTCATAGTGCCCCTAGGTGACTGGCAGGGGACAATAACTCCTCCCTGCAATAACTCGACCTAAAACCAGGTTGATGGCTAGTTTTAGATACTAGGATGTGGGGAAAAAACAACACCTTAAAATAGATGAAATACAGTTTATTGCTTTAAAATTCCAATGTTCCAAAATCCTTTTATCAATATATTTCTTTGTTTTTAAGTTACTTATTGAACATTTATTTAAGTGAAATGACACTAATTTGTTTTGGTCAGATTTTCATGTGCTTTTCAGTTTCTTTGGATGATTGTTTTTGTAATGCTAATTGTTAATTTCTTATTTTTTGTTTAGTCATTTGCCTTAATACATAAAACTTGCTATACTTTAACCTGACTTTTGATTTGGAGATGGAAATATGGCAGGATCCCATATTTGTCATTGACTTGTTAACTTGGAAGGGTTAAATCTATCGGACCTGTTTCATTTGTTTGTCCAAGTAGATTACTTTTTTTTATTGTTGACATTATTACAGATGTCCCCCATTCTCTCCCTGTAGATTACTTTTTTTAATATTTTAGGAAATTTTCTGAAATGTAATGCTGCACATTCAGTATTCTAATTATTAATAATAATGCAAAGCTTTCATAGTTTTTCGTTTTTATGCTATAGCTATTATGTCCTAATTTTTAAAATATTTATCCTGTTTAAGGTAATTTGAGTGAAGGATTAGAATTTTGCAATGCCAACTATAATTATCTCTGATTTGAATCCAATTGTTTGTACTTTAGAAAATGCTCCAAATCCTTTGTTGTGTTATATTTGAAAATATTTCTATCAGAAGGTTATCAAAGACTGCCTAACCTAAAACTCTCAGTTGGGGAACTGCAGGTAATCTTGGACTCTGGGTGCTGCCTTCTTTGTACATGAGAACTTTTTTTCCCTTATCATGTTTGTTTACCTTTAGAATGTAATGTAATGTATACTTTTTAAGTTTGGAATTTTAAGAAACTTATTATGAGGTTGTTCCTTTGTTTTTTAATATATTTTAATCTATTCTATTTGTAATTATACCCTGTAATAATTTATACATGACTAACAAATGAATTTCAGCCTAATTATTTGAGAACTATTTTATTTTCTTATGTAGCCTATACATGAAATGAATTCTTTCTATATTATCATCTCCAAGTAGTATTTTCAGATTAGTTTAAGCATGAGAATGAGTGAGAATAATTTGTTATACATTACAAAGCTTTTAAAAGTATTTCTTCAAAATGTAAATTTTTATTATATGTCACTTCCATTTTGTTAATGAATGTATCTCTAAATATAAGGTTTTTCACATATGTCTGCATGGCAATTGAGGTTAAAACTGAATTTCTACATTTTAGGTTTGTGGATTTCTTATTTCCAGCAAAAAAAAAAATCACACTGATTATTCAATAGTTTTTATTTCACAGGCAGTGTGGTTGACAGGAAAATGACTTCGCTTGTTAGTGAAATTTTTGAGACTAAAGGAATGTGTAACTGCATATAGTGTTTTGCTCTAACCATGACTTTTTAATATACTGTAATCTTACCCAGAAGTTCTTGACAAGAATAATTATAAAGGGTTGTGAGAAATATAAAATTAGTTTTCTTTTGTTCTCAGTTTCCCTTTTCTATTTTTTCCTAAAATTCAGTATGTGATAAATTCTAGTTGTGATTTTTATAATTTTTTATTTTTAATATTTGGTCTCAGTTCTTTTGTAATTACCCTATAAACTTTTTCATATACCATACTGTATTTATTAATGATACATTTCCCCACTTTAAATACAGAAAGAAAGCAAAAGCCCAGAAATGATTTTACTTTTCTAAACTAATCATTAATCACTGGCAGTGTTTTTAATAGTTAACAAGGTGGTTAGCACTTTGCTTGACAGTTGCATTCTGTGTGAATGTGTTGTTTATTTATACATATTCACCAATTTAAATAAATTTAATAATGTTTTAGGAGTTTTCTAGAGCCGAATGTAGTAGTATGTCTTATAATACTTACGAATTTATAGGCACTTTAAAAATATAGATGTCCTAGTCTTTATTATTTATTAACTTGAGTTATAGAAGTTAATATATTACCATCTTATGTTTTACTTTATAACCAGTGTTAATAAGTAAAGGACATTTTCAGTATTAAAAAATACTGAAGTTTTTTTTTTTATGTGATTAATGTAGTTAGCACTTCTGTTTAACTCTTGATATTTGCTAGTTTGTAATCTTAAGTCATTTATAAAATTCTGAGATAACACTCCATCTGAAAATAGAATCTGTGTGTTAGCCACATAGTTTTTTAGTGTAGGTCATCCTAAGAAATGCACATGCTTAATATGAAGACATAAATGATGAGAAGTGCCTTATTAGAACATGAGTTAATTTGATATAACTTTTTTCCTTATAATAGTTAATTTTTATTTATCTTTGGAAGGACCATTTTAATATTAACTTTTTCTCCACTTTAAAGATTGGGTTGATATTAGAAAAATACTGTTATGGAATTAAAGTAAATATAAAATTGCCCTGACCGGTGTGGCTCAGTTGTTTGGGCATTGTCCCACAAAGCAAAAGGTCACTGATTTGATTCTCAGTCAGGGCACATGCCTGGGTTTTGGGTTCGGTCCCCAGTTGAGGCACATACAAGAAGCAATTGATCGACGTTTCTCTCTCACATCGATGTTTCTTTCACTCTCTTTCTACCTTCCTTCTCCTCTCTCTAAAAAGAAATAGAATCTTAAAAACATTTGAAGTAAATATAAAAACTGGGAAAGAAGTGAAAACAATGAGAAAAATCAGTTAATAGTTCTGTATTTTTCTTTTTTTTTGTGGTCTAGAGTACCTCTAATAGCAGATTTTATTCACATTAGAGAAATTCTTGATATGAAACAAGGTGGTGTAACCATTATTATGAATTAGGTGATTTCTTTTATGTAGGGAGATATTTGTTTCTTCCTCCCTATGAACTCTATGAATTTAGGACCAACAGATGGTAAATATTTTATTTTTAATAATATGTTTTTCTTGATAGCATAAACAAAGTAAATTTTTTTCTGAAGTAGTTTGATTCTGTAGTTTATTAAGGAAAACAGATGAAGTGAATTTATGATCATTTAGTTTATTTACATGTAAGTTGGTGAGCTGAAAATACCTGTGGTTTCAATCAATTCACTTCTGTAAGAGAGTAATTTTTTTTTTTGTAAGATAAACACCTGTTAACGTTTAGAGTAAACTTGGCCTCTGGCCTACATTTGGTTTCTTTGGGCATTGAGATTTGGGAGGAGGAGGCAAGGGAAAGTGGTGAGGGGAAGGCAGAGACAAATGTATTTGAAAAAATAAATAAATAAAATAATAGCAATGAAAAAAAAGAGATTTGCATCTTATTCAAGAAAACAGAGAGAAAAGCTTTTTCCATTTAACATAACCTTTAACTTTTTGGTTTTTTTGATAGTAGGATGGTGAAACTATTTTACAGTTACTTTCCCATGCAAATCTGATTCGCTATGTCAAAGTAAGCGATTTTTTTCTTTGAGGTCTGTCCCTTGCTGACAAAACCCAATGGACTGAGGTGTGGTAAGTGATCCTATGGATTTAAAGTCATAGAATGTTTAGTTAGTTCTGGGTCACAGGGATAGTGTTAGTCTGGTACTGGATTTAAAGCCACAGCTAAATTGAAACGACTTCTCAGGGACAAATTGGACCTAAATTGAACTACTGCTCTTTGTCTAGAATGAGGCTGTTTAGATGATTGAGTTCATTACTTCTGGATATTACCTTCTGTCCTCACCCTTCAGTCCTTTCAAGAGAGAGAGATGATGGTCAAACCAATGCTGGCTCTCACCAGTTCCCATCTACAGAGAGGACTTCATGTGCCTCTGTAAAGTTTTCTAAAATAAATTGTAAGACCGCCATAAAAGCTGTTAAAATGAACTAACAGGGATAATTAAGAGTGTTGAAATGCTAAATTTACTGGAAATATAAAAGAAACCTCAATAAATGAAGTCAATTTCATTATAATTATACAGTTATTTTAATAGTTAATAAGGTGGCTAACTTTCCAAACTGTAATTTGGCTTTACAGCTTGTTAGGTTTCCTTCTAGTTTTTTACTTTATTTTTTATTTTTTTAGGTTTCATGTTAGTAACTTAAAATTATACCAGTCATTTCATAAAATTGAATAGGATGCCTTAAGATTTTATTTTATCCTTTTTAGTAAAGTATATATCTCTGCCCTGTTTTGGACTCAACGCTTCTCCAGTTTTAACTTTATTGTAATTATCTGAGACAGGGGGATTTTTATAATTTTGTTAATAAATTTTTTTCTTTAGTGAAAGGGCCCACCTTCAACTGTCTTTCACATGGGCTATTCATTAGGAAGTCTTTGTGATTGTACTGTAGAATTTTGCAAAGAGAATTTGACCTTATACATAAATAAAATCATTGTATAACTTTGCTTAATTTAGAGTAAACTTTGAAAATGATCTTTTGTTCTTATGGTGTTTGTTTTATTAAGATATCTATATATACTGAAGAACCCATAGAACATGTTTTTGTGTAGATGCTTTAGGTACTATGGGTACAGGCCTGCTCTGTTGACTCTTTCTTTCCTGCACGTGTGTATTTATATCGGTCCAGTATAACTAAATCTGGTTGCCTGACATTGTTAATTACAAATTTGAATTTAAATTTATATTTGCCTGTTATTTAAGTTATTAGAAGTAGAGAATAAACTAATGCGTCAGTTTGAAAGAGATTCAAGCACTTAGACTTTAGATAAAAAACTAGCCATGTTTTGATAAATTGAAATAAATTTGAAATTCTTTTTTGAAAGGACTTGTGGAGGGTTCTGTTGTTTAGATATGTATAAAAAATGGGAGGCATTTATGTCATTCCAGGTCTTACATTAGTAAAGTTACAATTCTGGAAAGGGTTTTCCCACAGGTGATAGTGACAACGGCTCGTGTGATGGAAACGAATGAAGAATTGCTGGCCCTGTGAAGAATGAGAAGCTCCTTTTCTTCTGAAAATTGCCAGTTTTCTTAATGTGATAATGAAATTCACCTAAAGTATTGAACACTACTTTAACAGCCATATTTTTTTGTAACAGTCCTCTTGAAAGACAATGTAGTTTAACAGCCATGTAAAGAAATACGACTTCGGAAACAATAATTTTCATAGATGCTGATAAATGTTGGTGTAAATAATCATGTTTTTCTGGTATGAGAAATTAAGCTAAAGAAATCAATGTTTGCCAAATGGAAAAAAAGATTAATTGGAGAACGCATTTAAAAAAATTATTTTCTGGAAAGGATTAAGAAGGAAATGAAAAAAATTCTATTTTTTTGTTGTTATGACCTAGTAAGTAAACTAATCATTTCTAGCCATGCACCAGTGTATTTGTTTATGATGTTTTCTGTGCACCTATGGCTAATATTTATTTTTTCATGTGATTTACAGTGTTGTTAGCAAATGTGTCTTGTTATATTTGATATAATTAAATTGTAAGTCTGTTGCTATATTTTTAAGTTTAAAAGATTTGTATGTATATGCAGTGAAATAATTCCCAGAATCTATGTTTTGATTAAGTAAATGTCTTATTTTGAAATTTGACTATAATCTTCAGGAGGGCAAGGACCATGTTTGTATACCCTGTGCCTAGAATTGAACATGGCATATATCAGATGCTCAATAAGTATTCTTTGAATAAAGGAATGATAGAAAAGTATAGTATATGTATAGTTTTCAAGTTAAAAATTTCTAGAAGTTGTACTGAAATCATTTATAATGATCTTTTGTTTTAAAGATGACTAACTCTAAACTCTTAGTGTCTCTTACTAACCAGCAGATCATACTTGAATCACATCTCATTCAGATTAATTTTAGAATGTATTTACAGTAAAACTTCACTCAATACTTTGTTCCCTTTAATATTTCAAACATCAAATGCAAAAATACCAAAGGCATATGAGAAGGTCCACTGTATGTGGAACAAGCTCTATAAGATAATATGTTTTTAAGGATGTACGGGAACAGACAAGGGAATGTGCTTCCTATGGAGTATGGTGGCGATGTCACAGAACAGTCAAACATACGAATTTCATCTGCTGGAAATGCAAGGTATGGTATGTAACAGAAATTCTCCCCTTCAGTCATTACATACACTGTGAAACAGCACCTGCTAAACCTGGCTTAATGGAAAGTAGAAAGATATAGTATCTTAACAACCTTCCTTAGTAAGAAAGGAGTTAAAGGGAAAAGGGTTTGGAAGTGGGAGAGTTGTATTAAATGAAAATTTTCAGTACTTTACAGCATTCTTTTGAAGAGCACATTTTGATTATAAACTGTGCCAAGGTGTTCTGAATTAAGTCCCTATCATTTTAAAGTGTATTAATTTGTTTGAAGTAATGAAAGGAGAAATATCCAATTTAATAGACTAAAAATCAAATTAAAATATCTTGGAGTTATGGGGGTGTTGTAACTTAACTGGAAATAAATTGAAAATGTTCCTGCAATGAGTTTTCCTTTCAAAACTCTGTTTTTGACTTTCAGCTTACTGAGTAGATAACTTTTATGCTTACATTGTAAGATAGGTTAACATGCGTAATTCAGTCATGTTGAAAATAAAGGAAAATTATTATTCATGTTCTCTTTCTATTTTTAGCTTTTTATTATTTTGGTGGCTTTCTTGTTTCATACGTAAGGATGAATGCTTCTGAATCCATAGTGTATAATGAAGATAATCTCATGTGTCAGGAACAGTGTTTATTTTCTTTGAAGAAAAATAATTCATAAAAGTGCTTGCGATAAGAGGATTTGCCATTTGGGTCTAGTTAATGAGGGATTTGCCTTTCTAGGAAGGAGTCTTTTAGGGATGGATCTTCTTTTCCAGATATATGTATAGGAATCACCTTTTTCCTTTTTTTTTTTTTTTTTTTTTAAGATTTATGTGTACTTATATTCATTTTCTTTACTGGGGTAACTATTATTATTAAAAAAAAAAAAAGGCTCTTATGGGAGTTTACAGAGCCAGTGAAGCAGGCCGAAGAAAAAGGTTATTATAGATTTATAGAGCCTGAGTGCATTGAGACTCCACTATATAAATATATAAAATGCAATGATTTTATCCTAATTTTAAAAACATGTAAATATTAGAGTATCTGTAGTACTTTAAAAGGCCAATAACTCACACCTACATTTTACTTTAATTTTTGTTTCTTGAAAGTTATTTAGGTTTTAATTCTTTTCATTTTGTTCTAGTGCTCGAAACAATGAAGCATCCAGATCTACCCAAGAGATCTGTAGTCCCTTTGCGGGGATGCTCTTTGGTATGTGCGAATTTCCAGCTGATTAGATTTGTAAAGTGTTCTATAAAAGGTCTCTAGTGAGAACTCAGAGTTGTAATACCACTGATACTAATAATAGAATGCATTTGTCTAGTGCTTGCTTTATAATTGGCAGGAAGCTAAGCATTTAAAATGTATTATTTAGCTCTGTGTAATTTTAAAGTGAAATAACTTTTATTTAGTGGTGGAGTTTTCTACAGAGGGTAAATGAAATATTAATTTTAGTAACATGCTTTTAATTTCATATTTTATTAGTACTTTGTGGTAGTGTTGCTGTTTATTATATTCTGTTTTATATGGGATAGGTTTTTTCCTTCATTCTTTTTCTTGTTTCTGTAACTCCCACAAAATTGCCGTATATTTTAGTGCAATTGCCCTGAACTAAACTTTTTTATTTTCTGATAAACACCTTTTCCCATGCTCTTTCCATGTAGTTTCCAAAAAGGTGTTTTGTTCAAATCATGATCATAATCTACACTCTCTTTATTTTGTAGAAATGAAGGACATAGCTTAACATAAGCATGTTGATTTGCTATATTAACTTGTCACAGTAAAGAGAACCTTATTTCCTATGTGTAACTTTAAATAGAAAATCACTGTTTTTTTGTGTAAAAACTATTAGAAATGTTACTTGAAATTTGGTTTCAGTGCAGTATGTGAGAAAATTGAATTAACAGTTTAGGTTCATTCAACCTGAAAACCATCAGTAATTTAAATCTTGGCTTAGAGATATGTAATTGCATGAGATTCTCAGATCTTAGTTTCTTTGAAATGGCTATTGTGAAAAAAAAATGGCGTAACACCTAGAGTTTTATTCTAGTGTAATGTCTTTAAGTGAGAACTGACCAGTTTAACTCATCAGAAGGTCAGAAGGCTTTATTCTTATGATGTATTTGTTAAACATGATTAAAATTGGAGAAATGGCTTTCTGTGTTGAGGGACCACTGACAAGTAGTTTTATCAATAAATGGAAATATTAGCCCTGGCTGGTGTGGCTCATTTGGTTGGAGCATCATTCTGTAAACTGAAGGGTTGAGGGTTCGATTCCTGGTCAGGGCACATAACCTACAAGTGTGTGCCCTAACCAGGGTTAGGTGCCCATTTGGGGCGCAAACGAGTGGCAACTGATCATGTATTTAACACATGTAATGCATGTTTCTCTCTCCCTCTCTTCCTCCCTCTCTCTAAAGTCAATAAGCATGTCTCCAGGTGAAGATAAAAAATAAAAAATGAAGTTTTTAAGATGAACACAATCTAGAAATTATGGACAAATATTCAGTGAGATAATAACTAATGTTTGAAACAAATAATTGAAGTTATCTAATCCAGTGGTTATCTCATGGTTATATATCATTTTTTTCCAGCTTACATTTGTATATACCCATAGGGAATTTACTCTTTTCCAAGGCAGCGCATTCCACCTTTAGATGGTTTTGATTGTTAAAATGTTCTCATTTCAGTTGAACTGAAATTTGTCTTACTGTCATTTTGCCTCAGTGACTTCATTTAGAGCCCTTCGCTTTATTTAAAAAATTAAGGCAACTGATGCCTAGAGCAAATTTATACATTGTAGGGTTTATAACCAAATCATGGTTCATTTAGAAATACTTTAAAAAAAAATATATATATATATTTCAGATTATTTATTTATTTATTTTTAGAGAGGAGAAGGGAGGAAGAGGAGAGAAACATCAATGTGTGGTTGTATCTTGTGTCCCCCCTGCTGGGGTCCTGGCCTGCAACCCAGACTTGTGCCCAACACTGGGAATCTGAACCAGCGACCCTTTGCCTTGCAGGCTGGTGCGGGCAATCCACTGAGCCTCACCAGCTAGGGCTGGCAGTATGGTTTTCAATTTCCAAATATTTGGAGATTTTTCTGCTTTTTGTTCTTGACTGCTTGTTTAATTCCCCTGTGGTCTGAGAAAATAATTTCAATTATTTCAAATTTGAATTCTCTTAATTAAAAATTTTTAATGACTCAGGATATAGGCTCCTTTTGTGCATATTTAGTGTGTATTTGAAAGAATGCAATGTGTTTGTGTTGAGTGTCGTGGTTTATGGTAATGCTCATGTCTTATACATCCATAATGATTTTTAACTGTTCTTTGTACCAGTTGCTGAGAGAGAAATGGTAAATTCTCTAACTACGTTATTCTTCGTGTGAGGCCCGGAGTGCTGAAGGGATTTTTCTGTGTTTCTGCACCTTCCTCAGTTTTCAACAAGGCCTTAATGCCCCTGACAGAGAGGGTGTCTCTTTCCCAACTTCCTTCTCCACACTTCTCTCTCCTTCCTCAGCGTGGATTCTTGTTGCTTGTTCCATGGTGCAAGGCTGGCACTGTGCATCTGATTCCCAGATATGAGTCTTTCTCAGTGTTCCTGCCCCTCCTCAAAGTAGTAGCAAAACTTTCCTTTATGTCTGTGGAGGGTCTTGTGTGAGAATTTTCTGCCCTTCCCCTCACTTAACAGGCCTTTGTATGTAGTGCAGAATGCTGGGTCTGAGCAGTTTTTCTGCCCTTCAACCAGTTGATTATGGTTATTGTTTTGTATGATAGAAGATTCTGGAAAACAAGCAGTGGTGTTTTGTTTGTTTGTTTGTTTGTTTGTTCATTTTTGCAGTGGAAGGGTTTCTTTCGGGTCTCCTGTGTTGCCCTGCGGTCTCTCGTGTGAGCATTCTGCGGGAGGGCGGTACTGAGGGCAGAGTCCTCTTGTGTCTGGACTTCCAGGAATCTGTCATCTTACAACCCACACAGAGCCTTTAAGAATTCATTAATATTTCAGGTGGTTTTTTTTTTTCTGCTTGTAAGGCAGCTCCCTATTTATTCATATTCTGATAAAGGTAAAACACTTGGATTGTTCCATTTCTGGCTTGGTTTTTATACCCTTTGAAATTCAGTTTAACTGGTTGCTTATAACCTCAGCAATCTGATGGGCTTTTTAATTTTATTGTATTGTACTTTTTTTCCATTACCATTTATCCCCCTTATACCCCCTGCCCCCGCCCCGCAGTCACCACACTGTTGTCAATGTCCATGAGCTCTTTTTTCTTTTTGCTTGATCCCTTCACCCCTTCACCTCTCCCCTGTTCCAGAGCTGTCATCCTGCTCTTTATGAGTCTGTCTCTGTTTTGCTTGTTAGTTCAGTTTGTTCATTAGATTCTACATGTGAGTGAAATCACATGACATTTTTTTCCTCTGACTGTCTTATTTAGCATAATATTCTCCAGGTGCATCTAGGCAAAGGGTAAAATTTTCTTCTTTTTTATGGCTGAATAGTATTCCATTGTGTAAATGTCCCATAGTTGTTTCATCCACTCTCCTACTGATGGGCACTTGATGGGTTTTTGTAAAGTTCTGATTTTGCAGGTGATTGAGCTTTTTTCCCATTGTAGCACCTGAACAATGTTGTGGCTTTCTACTTTCTAAGCAGAAGCAGAACTTTCTTACTTGGCTCTTTAAAATAGCTTCTATTTCCTCCTCCTCCTCATAATGGTGCTATTTTCACTTAAATACTTGAGCATAGTTATGGGAGCTGTTTTAGCATCCTTGTTTGTTGTTCCATCATCTCTGTTTATGTGCTTTTTTTCTATTGACTAACTTTTCAAATGGTTATGGGTCACTATATTAATTTTTTATTGCTATATCACAGATTAGCACAAATTCAGGAACTCAAAGCATCCCACATTATCTCACAGTTTCTGTGGGTCAGGAACTTAGTGGGGTCCTCTTCTCAGGGTCTCGCAAGGCTGCAATCCAGGTTTCAGTCAAGACAGAGGCTTGAATGGAGAAGAATACTTCCAAGTCCATTCGGAATGTTGGCAGAGTTCATTTTCTTGTGGCTGTATTGCTAAGCATCCTGGCTTCTTACTGGATATCAGCTAGAGACCACCCATAACTCCTAGAGGCTGATCACTGTTTCTTGTCACGTAGGCTTCCTCACAATGGCTACTCACTTTTTCATGCCAGCAAGGAGACTTGCTATACTTAGGGAGGGCTTTTACCTGATTAGACCAGACTCACTCAAGATAATCCCCCTTTTGATAAATTCAGAATTGATTTGGTACCTTAATAACATCTGCAAATTTCTTTCACCTTTGTTGTGTACTCTTGTTTACAAGGAAGTTGTGCCCACATTCAAGAGGAGTGGTTTTATACAAGGAGTCAACAACAGAAGGTAGGGAGCATAGGTTCTGTCTTAGAATTTTGCCTACCACAGTCATGCTTTTCTGTTATGTAAGGACCAGTCTCTTTGAGGCCTTATTTTGAGCTTAGCTAGGGAAATTTAAAGTAGCCTTCCTTCCAGCGTTAGTTCAGCACTGTTACCACAGAGTGACCTTTCTGGGGTTTTCCCTGAAGATCCTAGGGGATCCTCAAGAACTCTACTATAGCCGGCTGGAGCTTGCATGTCTCTCCACTTTGAGGTCTGAGAATTGTTCAGTTAATGTGTCCTCCTCAGTTTTTCTGTCCAACCTAATGGAATTTCACTCTGTGTATGTGCAGACTAGTGCACAGTAAAGTTGGAAGGAAACCGTGGATTTCTAAAGCTCTTTTTATGGTACTTTTTGGATATTTGCCCTAAACTTCTGGTCACGTTAGTCTTCCTGAATTTTGATCTTCATCTGCTTAATTTAGCTTAGTTTCCCAACTTGGTTTGGGTCCTCCTTCCCTGTACCCAGAGTCTGGAACTTGCATTCAGGCAGAAACTGGGTGCTTAAAGGGCTCCCCTCATTTATTTTTCTTCCCTCAGATATTACAGTCCTGTGCTGCCTATTGTCCAGTGCCTGGAAAGTTATTTCATATATTTTGTGTAGATTTATTTATTTATGTATTTTTATGGTGGAGGTTAAGTTCTATGCTTGTTACTACATCATGATCAGAAGCAGAATGGATATAGCTACTTTGATTATAAAGCATTATTATTGACCTTAATGTAATTCATGTTTTTCCCACTGGGAGCCCCAGTGTTGCTGACATCTATGCTTAATGGATAGACTCAGATACTGTCTACTTAATTATTAATTGGGAGACTAATAATTAAGGTAGTAGGGAACTTGCTGGTTTAGTTGCATTTTGGATGTCCTGTAATTTTTATAGTGCTTCGATAATGCATATCTTGATTAAGAGGTGATTTTTTGCCATTAACATATGCAATAATAATAATCTTCTGTGGATCCAAAATATTTACACAATTGGATTTTTACATAAGTGATACCAGGGTAAGAGGTGAGAGTTTTATAGTTTTCTTCTGTAGAATCAAGGTAACTAGTGAAGTGTTTTGAGCAGGGCGCCTGGGTGATTAGTGTTGTATTTTTAGACAATTGGCCTTAACGTTAGTGTGCTGGGTGGACTGAGGCAGGGAGAGGGGGAGCTCAGGAGACTAGTTAGGAGGTTATTGCTGCAATCCAGGTGAAATGTGGAGACGTTCTCTCCAAGGTTAATGGCCATGAGAATAGAAAAGAAGGGCCTCATATGGAGTGAATGAGAGGATGAGCAGTCAAAGTAACAGTGAGGTTTTGGGGCTTGATTATCAGGCCATTAACAGAGAACAGAGAGAGGCAGTTGCTTCTGAGGTGTTTAATCTGGACACACTTGTTAAATTTAAGGGACTTGTGGGGGATATTAGTGGAACTGTTATCCCAATTATTGGAAAAATGAGGATGAGGATTAGAGTATTCTCTTATTTAAGATTTTTGACTAAAAGGAAGAATTAATGTGTTTTTGATACATAACATTCATTATGAAATTGTCGATTATATGATTACTTTGATAAATATGATTTTATTTTTTCTCTTTCCAGCTTATACAGCAATTACTCTTTGATCTAGTAATTAAAAATGGAGATTTTTTTAAAAATTTGAGTTAATAAATACATATGTGTTCAAGAGTCAAAGTCAAGGCTGCATTTTTTTCTTACCACTTTCTAGGAGGTGAAGATCGAGAACTTATTCAGAGAAGGAAAGAAAAATATAGACAAGAACTGTTGGAACAAATGGCTGAACAACAGAAGAACAAGAGACGGTAATGAAAATTTGCATTTAAAAGAGATGATTTGAAAAAAAATTAAAAAGAAAAGAGATAGTGTGAATTTAAAATGTATTTATGTAAAATGACATGGTGGTAACTGTTATATAGTAAAACAAGAGGATGTTTTTCCTCATATGCTTTTGTATTTATAAATCACTTCAGTTTCAATCTGCACATTGTAAACCAGCAGGGTAATAAATACTCTCAGTGTTCACTCATCTTGTCATTGGTAACAAATGATGCATACATTCTTGAACAGTCCTTTTACATACCTGCATTAATTTTTTCAATTATTGATTTAGGGTAGCATTAAATATTATCTACATGCCCACTTATTTCATATACAGTAAGAAATATAAGAGTATTTTATCTTTTAACAATGTAAAACTACGTATATATGCAGTATAAAAATAATCATTGATGAATCCACAGATATTTATATTGCGTACAAGTCTGAGTATTTGTAATTTTTCTTGTAGAAATACCTGTGAAATGTTAATTATACTTTAAAATTAGGAATAGATATCTTGGTTCTAGAGAATTTGAGACTCATTATCTTGTAATTTTGTCATTTTTCTGTCTCTGAGGAAGCCAGTATCTACTGTCTGATATAGTCATCGTAAACATTTTCTTTAAAACTCATATTAAAATTTATAATATTAATTTTTAATTTTTTACTCTTCTTTTTGTGAACTGAAAATAAAATATACATGTACCCTAGAAGAAGTAAAGATTTTGTTTTACTTCTGTACTTTATTCAGCGTAAATTGCTTAGGCTTTGAAGTACCCCTGGCGCTGGTTTAGAGATACTTAGTCAAGTCAGTTTACATGTGAATTCTAGTTTACATCAAATTAGAAAAGTGGACTTTGCAGAATTGTGTAAGGCTTTATTGTTAGTTAAAGGAATTATTTGTATTGGGAGGTGTTATTGCATTGACTTTGTTTATAAGTTTGTTTCAGTAATGATTATGATTTTGATAGTATTTATTACAACATTTTAATATATAAAACTTTAATTTTGTTTAGAGAAAAAGACTTGGAACTCATGGTTGCAGCTTCTGGAGCCCAAGACCCTGAGAAGTCGGTAAGGATTCCGGGCATCTTTTAATGTTAACTCTTTCATTCAAATAAGCTTCAAATGTGGCAGCAAGTGGAGAGAGAGAAGATAGTGGGGGAAGTGTAAGTGTAGATCAGTCTGAATACTAATAAACTAAACTTGTTTATTTTACTAAGGTAATTTTTCCTTTTTCACACAGTGCACCCTTTTTTTAGGTTGTTTAAAATTAGTTCTTTGTACTTTTGCTCACCTGTACTATGCCATGGGAGAGCTATCTCAGTGTAATTTACAAAAGCTGTTAAATTGTTCTTGAGTATATCTCGACCACCTTTCTTATATCTGATTTCCAAAGAAACTGACTGTAATCTTAGACTGTAAGCATTTTAGTAATTTTTATTTAATGTAAAACTAGAGAGATAATAACCTTATTTTTACTTTATTTTTGTAATAATTCTCATCAGTAAGTGGAATGAATTACATTATTACAGTTAAGTAAGGCGATGGTAATAATTTATTGCTTTCCTCAGAGTGTACTTTTCCTAGAGTTTGATTTGTAGAATTTACCTGCTAAGGAGAGTTTTAGTTTCATCTTTGAATGATGATTAAGAAATGTTAATTTCATTAAAAAGTTCTTTCTTAAAAAGAATACAGCAGCTTAAAAATATTCAACTGTAGGCAACTTTTGATTTACTTTTTTACTTATGCTAAGTTTTTATCCTAGGGATTTACCTGTTTAAAAAAGTTAAATACTTCACCAGCACCACTCACTCCCCGTGTGCTTTTTGATTGCTCATGGAATAAAACTTTTTAGAATAATCTGAGAAATCATTCCCGGGAAAGATAAACGTGGTAGGGAAAAAAAAGGATCCATTTCAAAGATAAATATATTTTCTTCTATCAATAAATACCTTTGAAACAGTTTTCGCAATCAAAAAGTTTTTTTTTAAATCTTGATCTTTTTAATGTAATATGGGGACCTGTTAAACTTGGATTTATAGTTATATTTGTCAGACCTTCTTATTTATATCTGGCTGAAACAACCTTTACAGTGTCCAGTTGCATTACTAGACTAAATAAAAAAAAATTAGACATAATATTTAACCATTACTTTTAGGTTTACTTTTGATGTACAAATATTAGAAAAGGACACATGAATGATGTTCTAGAGCAGGAGTTAAAAGTATAGCCTTTGGCCACGTCCAGTTGCTGCTGATTTTTGTCAATAATGTTTTATTGTAGCACACCCTTGCTCATTTTTCGACACGTTATTTTGGGCAACTTTAGCACTATGACCAAGTGGAGTCATATGGCTTGAGGTGTTTATTATCTGGTTCTTCACAGAAAATGTTGGCTGACTGGTGAATATTGTGATGTCAGAAATGGTAATTGGATAGAGAAGCAGCACAGTGTTGTAGTATAATAGAGTTTTATATTTAGAATTAATATCTGGCTCTAGTCTTTGCCTGATTATTTATTAACGGTGAGACATTAGGTGCTTGTGTACTTCCAGGGAGTCTCAATTACTTTATTTATAAAATAAGGATTAGATCTTCAAAATCTTTTAGCTGTAAAATTCTGTTATTTTGTGACTAATGTGTTTCCCAGCAATCTGGGACAGAGGGTCTTTGAGGTCCCTTCCACCTTTAAATTTATGATTATATTTAACAAACAGATTTTTTTTCTTTATTTTAGCCTGATAGACTAAAGCAGTTTAGTGTGGCACCAAGACACCTTGAAGAGAAGATCCCACCTGAAAGACCCAGAGTAGCTTTCCAGACCCCTCTCCCTCCTTTATCTGCACCCCCTGCCCCACCCATCCCACCAGTTCACTCCATCCCATCGCAAAGCGAAGATCTGCACAATGGACTCGGCAGTACCCTTGGTGAAATGGTGCCTCCCAGGTGCTTATTTAAAATGCTTTACTTTTGGGAATTAGGTAAGGTATCGTTATGTTCTGTGTTTAGAAGGATTTGCTGAAGCAAATAACGTTAACCGTCAGAGATTTTTGTGTAAGTGATGACATTTGTCAAATAATTTCTCTTGAAATGTTTTCATTGTTGGACTTTGTTATTATAAAAATGAGGGAAATCTTTATAACATTCTTTTATTGGTTAAAGATGCTATAGACTTTTTAGAATGCGTAAGTACATTTAGTACTTTAGGTCATATTTTTGAATATTTAAATGTATTTTAACATATAATAGATATATATTTTCTTCAGTTTTGTAATTCCACTTGGCAAACATTGAATACTTCCTTCAGTTTATACAGAAAAAGTTTCTAATGTGGCTTTTATTTATATTACTTTATTTTAATTTCTGTTTCATTCAGTTCTTTCTCTGTGATCATTTATGGGCTATGCAACTTAACTACCTGAAATGAAAACTGTTGAGACTATAAAACTTGTAATTTAGGTATTATGGAAAATATTTGATTTCTATTGGTAAAAGGCAACATGCTATACCAGACTATGTACATAAAGAAAATCCTCCTGTTTACATTCCATATTTTCTGGGCTATACTTTCTTCTCTTAGTAGGACTTGAGTTTTTTTCCTTACCGTAATGTATTAATTATAGTAGTGAATTTAATAAGGTGTTTTTCTTTTTTAACAGTGATATTTTCTGGGCTGTACTTTCTTTCAGTAGGATTTATTCTTATTCTTTTATTTAATACAAATAGTAGGACTGCATTTACTATACTTATCAGGTGTTTTCTTTCATCCAATGACTTCCTTTCTGAAAAGACTAGGTGGAATTGGAATTGCAGAGCATGGTATGATGGTCTCAGCATTGGGTAAGGCAGCGATTTTCAACCGGTGTGCCTGAAGAATTTTTAATACATGCAACACCTCTTTTCCTCTAGATTGTCAGATAAAAAATGACAATAGCCAGCACAACAGTAGCCATCCGGTGTGAATGAATCAAAACTATACTTATATTTTTTTGTCAGATTGGCAAAAGATTTATTTTTTGGTGTGCTGCAGAATTTTAGTAATTAGTTTTATGTGCCTGAGATAAAAAAAGGTTGAAAATCGCTGGGTTAGGGATTACAATGGTCGACTTCACTGTCGATTTTGGGCAAACCAAACCTTTACTGATCATTTTCTCATTTGTAAAAGTACAATAGTAGTATTATTTTTTCCTTGTTTACAATTACAGGGTTGTTGTGAGGATTAAATCTGAAATAAATCCTAACAAAAATGTAAGATGTAATGTTGGCAGTTTTTCATAGCAGCTTTTCAAGTGCTTTGTTGATGTATCTATGGAGTGAGAATAGTAAGGTTAGACATACAGACTAGTAAATGTAGAAAATATTCACAACTGTAGAGAACTGTAAATGCCTTCATAGCTCTTCAGAATTATTTTGAAGTATACAACAGGAAGGACATGTTACAATAACACTTAAAAGTGCAAACATTCATCAGGATGCCTCCTTTCTCTTTCTGTTCATCTAAAGGGATTTACCTTTTCCATTTTTACTATTGGAAAAGATTGCCTTATTGGAAACACAGTGACATTTCCCAGTCAGTAATGAAGTGCTGAGTTAGACGTTTCAACTTCATGAAATACTAAAAACTGTTTCAAGACTTTACTGTTGATATATAAGTGGTGCCTGTTTTATATTATGGTTAATTGTGAGATAACAATACATTTTTATAGTTAAAAATGCACCTCCTCTTCCAGTCAAAGAGAACCATTTTTAATCCCATTTTTGTACCTCTCTGCCTTTTTTCCCTGAACTATCCTTCCTCTCTCTAACTCACTCACTCTAGCAGCATGGCTGAAGCATTGCCTTTTCTACAATAGAAAGCCTTCTTTATGCTTCCCTCCTGTCGTCGAGGAGATTTAAACGTCCCTGCTCCATGTTCCTGTCGCACCCTGTCTACTTGTATGGCTTTATTTACTATCCTTTGCTGTAATTGTCTGTTTATTTCTTATATCTGAGAGATAGGGTCTATGTTTGTTCAATACTGGCATACGATGATTAATAAGATATTAATTGATTGAATAAAATCTGAAGTTTTTGTCTTTCTTACATAAGTGTTGGAGCTTTTTCTAAAGCAGCAATTAGATTTTCAGTAATATTTTTGCCAAAGAATGATATCTTTATTTTCAAAAATTGCTATGAAATATGAGAAGAATTTTCTAATTTTCTTTTGATATAGGATTGTACCTCTGCCTCCACCTCCCCTACTACCACCTTTGGCTACTAACTATCGAACTCCTTATGATGATGCATACTATTTTTATGGAGCCAGGAATACTATGGATCCTAGTCTTGCTTATTGTAAGTCATCTATAGTGTAAACATTTTTTCTACTCGTTCAGTCAGGAAAATTTGTTTTGGGGGAAGCAGAAATATATAAGTGAGAAGAGCACAGCTTTACTTAGTGCTAATATATTTATTGCTTTAATAAATGTTCTGTTTGAAAACTGTTATTTTTTTAGTTATTTCCTTTTTTTAATTTAGATTTCAGAAATAACTATATTGTATTTTCTTGCATTGCTCTTTGCCTACTCCTAACCCACAAGGAAATATGGATTTTTTCCTTTAGGTAACATTTTCAGTATGTGACTTTTCTTTTAGGGATAAAGTGTCATTAAATGGGTACTCTGGAATAAATGTGTGTGTGTGTTTTTTAAGATGGTTCAGGAATGATGGGAGTGCAGCCTGCGGCTCACGTTAGCGTTCCTGTCACCCACCGGCCAGTGCATCCTGCTGTGTGAGTAATTGTTACCACCATGATTTCTTTCACAATTAATGTTCTTCCATAGACCCTATATAATTCAACTCATTTTTTTCCTTCGGAACAGAGAAAACGTACTTTAATTTCCAATTATTGTATAACCAGTATGTTCAAAGTATTGCTTTTAAGTCAGTGTTTCATACAAAGAACATTTTAAACATTAAGAATAACCTCACTTTGTCTTATTGGAAAAGTCATGCTTGCATATTATTGTTAATAAGAATATGAACAAACATCTGCAAGAAGTCGAAATCACCTAAAATCTCATTCAGCCAGAGATAGACATATCTCAGTAGGCATTCAGGAGGTCTTTCTATGTACACATACAGACTTACAAAAGTATACACATAGTACATACCAAAATGTATATGACCTATAACCTGCTTTTAAGATTAATAGTATATTATAAACAATTTTTCATGTCAATGAGTATACTTCTATAGCATCATTTTTAAAAATTGAACATTTTATATTCAGAGGTTATTATAGATTCCCATGGTAGAATGATTAGAAATGACTTAAAGACATCTTGTATACCCTTTACCAGTTTCTGTTGGTGCTAATAACATCTTGCAAAAGATGTGGTATGGGTTAAAACCCGGACATAGTACATTGGGTCCAGTCAAGATCTAGGATACTTCCTTCATCACAGGGATCACTTATGGTGCCCTTTTATAGCCATGCCTAGTTCCTTCTTGCCCCTATTCCTTCCTTAGCCATTGGCAACAACTATACTGTTCTCCATTTCTAGAATCTCATTTTAAGAATGTGATATAAATGGAATCATAAAATATATAACATTTGAGGATGACTTTTTAAAATTAGCATAATTCTCTGGAGATTCACCCAGGTTGTTGCACACATAATTTGTTCTCATTGCTGAGTAGCATTCCATGGTATGGATGTACCAGTTTGTTTATTCACTTGTTGAAAGACATCTAAGTTACTTTGAATAGAGCTGCTGTAAACATTTGTGTACAGGCTTTTGTGTGAACAAAGCCTTCACTTTTTGAGAATAATTGCCCAGGAGTATCATTGTTGGCTTGTGTGGTAGTTACAAGTTTAGGTTTGTAAGAAACTGCCAAACGGTTTTCAGAAAGATTGCAACATTATACATTCATATCAGCAGTTTTTTAAGAATCTGATTTCTTCACATTTTCACCAGCATTTGGTGGTGTGACTTTTGTTTATTTTGTTCTGATAGGTGTGTAGTTTTATATTGTTGGGGTTTTAATTTATATCTTCCTTATGGTAATGATGTTGAACATCTTTTCATGTGTTTATTTGCTATCTATAAATTTTCTTTGGTGAAATGTCTCCATGTCTTTTGCATATTTTCTAATGGAAGTGAGTCTGTTGTAGACAGCACGTGTAAGGGTCTTGTTTTGTTATCCATTCAGCCACCGTATGTCTTTTGAATGGAACATTTGATCCATTTACATTTAAAGTAATTATTGATAGATATGTATTTATTGCAACTTTATTATTCATATTTTTCTTTAATCTTTTTTCTTCTTCTTAAAGAAGACTACATTTCTTGTAATATTGGTTTGGTGGTGATGAACTTCTTCAGTTTTTTCTGGTTTGGGAAACTCTATTTGTCCTCTGCTTCTAAATGATAACTTTGCTGGGTAATCTTGGTTGTAGGTCTTTGCTTTTCATCACCTTGAATATTTTGTGCCAATGTCTTATGACGTGCAAACTTTCTATTGAGAAATCAGCTGATAGTCTTAGGGGAGCTCCCTTAGGGGAGCTCCCTTGTAGATAACCAACTGCTTTTCTCTTGCTGCTTTTAGGATTCTCTCTTGTCTTTTGCCTTTGCCATTTTAATTATGATGTGTCTTGGTGTGGGCCTTTAGGTTCATCTTGTTTGGGAACTCTCTGCATTTCCTGGACTGGTATGTCAGTTTTCCTTCATCAGGTTAGGGAAGTTTTCTGTCATTATTTTTTCAAAGGTTTTCAATTCCTTGCCCTCATTTTTCTTTTTCCGGCACCCCCATAATGCGATGTAGTATGCTTGAAGTTGTTCCAGAGACGTCTTAAACTAACTTGATTTTTTTTTTCTGCTCTAATTGGATATTTTCAGCTTTCTTATCTTCCAAATTACTGATTTGATCCCCTGTTTCATTTACTCTACTGCTGATCCCCTGTAATGTATTCTTTATTTTAGTTAGTTGTATCCTTAATTTCTACCTGATTCTTTTTTGTTTTCTGTCTCCATTTTTATGTTCCCCATCTCTTTCTGAGGTTCTCACTAAATTCCTCTACTTGTCCCCTATGTTCATTGAGCATCCTTATACTCAGTGTTTTGAACTCTGCGTCTGGTAGATTGCTTATCTCCCATTTCATATGTTCTTTTTTTGGAGTTTTGTTTTGTTCTTTCATTTGGGACATGTCTCTCTGTTTCCTCATTTTGGTTGCCTCTCTGTGGTTCTTTCTATTTATTGGGAAGAGCAGCTATGTCTCCTGGTTTTGGTAGAGTGACCTTAGGTAGTAGGTATCCTGTATAGCCCAGTGACATACCCTCCCTGGTCAGTGGAGCTGGACACTCCAAGTGCGCCCCTCCTGTGAACTGTGTGGTTGTAGTTGAACTTTGATTGCTTTTGGCATGTCAATGGGAGGGATTTACTCCCAGGCCAGTGGGCTGCAAGGATTGGCCATGATGACTGTGGAGGACCTGCTGTGAAGGGGCAGACCCCATGGAGTGGGACTCACTTCAGCGGGGCTCTGATGCCCACTGAGTCCACCCCTGGAGTGTGTTACTTGTCAAGGTGGTTGGACGGTGGTTTGGCGTGATTTAAAGCTGTCCACCAGGTGTGCTGGCTCTGAGGCCTCCTGGAAGGTGTAGACCAAGGTCAGCCACCCCTGTGTGCCTTGCCCTGGGGCCACATAGCAAGAGCTACAAAGTGATTTGTAGATGGCTGCTACTTATGCCGGACTTGAAAGTGCCTGGGAGTAAAGCCAAGCTGTGAACTAAGGCTAGCTGCAGCTAGTGCCAGGTTTGGGTCTATTTAGTAAGAGGCACGAGGTCCACCGAGGCCAGATGCTTCTTGTTTGAGAGATTTTAGGAAAATCTGTAGCATGGTCAAAACAGGAAGTTTTTATGGAAATACCACTGGCAATGGCTTGGGTGGACCCACAAATTAGGGGGGATGAGTCTCAGGGAACCTGTAGGGTGGGCCAAATAGTATTAGCCAGGTTGATGAAGACTCAGATATGGTGGTCACCTGACAGCTCTGTGAGGGGAGGGCTCAGCAGAAGAACAATGGCTTCTGCCAGCATTTCTGTCTGGGAGAAAGCTGCTCCTCCAGGCTTCTTTCTCATGCTCAGAAACTCAGTTCTATCCTGTATGGCCCTGGTGCCCTAGTGATGGTCGGAATGAATGAGTTTGAGTAAGTCTGTGCATGGGTCCTTTAAGAGGAGTGCCTCCAAGAAACCCTTCATCTCATTCAGCCACAATCCCTGCTGGTTTTTACAGCCAGGGGTTCTGGTGATTTCTCTTCCTGGCACTGGAATCCAGCGCTGTGGGGCCTGATATAGGGGTGAGATCCCCTCACTCTGCAAGAGGGACCTCTGCAGCTGAGATAGCCCTCCTGATTTTATTTGCCACACATGGGTGAGGGACCAAGTCATTCCTCATCTTTACCCCTCCAACCTGTCTCAATGTGGCTTCCTTGTTATGACCTTAGTTGTAGGACTTCTATTCACCTAAATTTCAGGCAGTTCTGAATGATGGTTGTTCTGTAGTTTAGTTGTACAACAATTTAGATGTGGTTTTGGGAAGATGTAAGTACTGCGTTTACCTCTATTTCCTTCTTTTTAAAGGCTAAGTAATAGTTTGTTGTATGGATATAACACATTTTCTTTATCCATTCATCCATTACTTTAAAAGGAACTCTAGGAAAGAATTCAGAAGATGATTAAAGATATTGTCAGTTTGTTCAGATAATTCTATATTCAGTAAAGTTATTTTTCATGAATGAGATTTCAATTAAAATAGTTTAAGAGAAACAAGTGAATTTACCATTAGCAGACTCTAAGTAAATGAAAGTTTACATGCAGAAGGAAGGACATTATAGGGAGAAGGTCTGAGTTGCACAAAGCAGTGGAAAGGAAGAAAAGCGATATTTATATTTGGATGAAATTAAATATTATCTATGTAAAATTATTCTGGGTTTAAAAGTAAGTGAAATTAAGAATAACTAATAGGAATATCTCATAATTTGGAAGTGGTTAAAGGGAGTATTTAATGTGTTTAAAAATTTTTCTGTCATTTCGGAGGAGGGTAATGATTTTGATTAGCCGTAGTTTTTGATAAGGTAAGTATAGGTGTTATATTTCTAGGGTAACCACTAATAGCACTTGAACAAAGGTGCCACTCACTACTGTACTAGAGGAAAAAAATGAAAAAGGCAGATAAAAGAGAAACATTGAAAGATTTAAGGAGCCTAACTTGATTATAAGTCAAAATTAAATGGAAAATCTAAATTTGATATTAGTAAATGGGTAAGTAACTGGTTAAAGAGAAATCTTGTCATCCTAGATGCAAAAGTGAAATTCAGGTACATGTTACTTAATAAGACATTTTAAAAATGATATAGAATAGTTGAAAGTAAAAGGGCACAGATTTAATACTAAGAGAATATGAATTAAAGTTCAATTAGCTATATTAGTTTTAGGTTAAGTGGATTTTTCAGTCATAAAGCTTTGAGATAAAGGTTCACTTTATAAAGAGTAAAGTTTTATTTTAGCAACATAAAATTGCAAAACATTTATGTATCTAAAAACATGATCTTAAAGTATATAAAGCAAAATTTTAAAGAACTGTGGGTAAAAGTAGACAAATCAGAATCTTAATGTGAGAATTTATCATTTTTTAACATAAGTGATAGATGAAGCAGAAAATAGTAAGGTTATAGAAGATTTCACTTAACATAATTACCAAGCTTATTTTAAAGGAAATGTATAGAAATGCACCCCAAACCTCAGATATCTATTTCTGGTATTCTCATGGAAACATTTATAAACTATACCATAGCCTAGTCCTTGAAATTTCAATATATTTCACTGGACTCATATCCTATTGACCACTTAAGGTTGAAATCAATTTTTAAAATAACTTTAAAATTATTCCATATATTAGAAATTAGAAAATAAGGAATGAATTAGAAAATACATAAAATGGGATGGAAATTGGAATACTAATTAGGCATCTAAACAATGAGAAAAAGAACAGCAAAGTAAGCCCAAAGAAGCAAGGAAAGCAATAATAAAAGAACAGAAATTAATGTAATAGAGACATATAATAGAGAGGGTCAACACAGTCAAAAGGAGGTAGGCTCCTTGTAAAAATTAGTATAAAAAAGTATTTTTCTGTTGAAATGGTCAAGGAAAAAAACCAAGAGTGAGAGGTATAACTAAGAACTATTAGAGATGAAAAAAATGGTTATTTCTAAATTTTTACAATTTAAAAATTCTGTATCTATGTCATTCAAAAAATTACAACTGTAGTTTTAATTAAACTTGAAAAAAAAGATATATTATGAACAATATTATGCCAATTAATTTGGAAATTTAATTGAAGAAAAATTTCTATTAAAATTTAACTGTATAAAACTGACTTGAGGAAATAAAAAATCTGAATAACATCAAAACTATTTTTTAAAAAACGTGGGTCATTAGTTTCAAATCTCTATGCAAAATCAATTCCAGGTCTAGGTGGACTGGTGAATTATAACAAACATTCAAGGGAAAAAATTATTTTACACAAACTAAGGCAGAGCCTAGATCAAGAGGGAATGCTCTACAGTTACTCTTACGAGACTGTCATAATCTTTATGCTCAAATTTGATGAGGCCAATACAAGAATGGAAAATTACAGGCTAGTCTCAGTAATTAACATAGATAAAAGAAGTCCAAAACTAAATGTCATAATGTAGAAAGGAATTTCATCCCAAGGTAGATTCACTCATTACGACAGGGTGACCATCTGCGGCACTCTATCAATTAAGAGTATGGTCTTTGCAGGCAGAGTACCTTGGTTTGAATTTTGGTTGTACTAATTAGCTTGAGGCTGTTTCTTAACTTCTGTACCTTGTTTTTTAATGGTACCCACTCAGATTTATTCTGAAGATTGAATGAATTAATATATGTAAACCATCTAGACCAGTGTCTAAAGTATACTAAATTCTAATTGGTTTTAGATATCAATATTATTTTAAAATTAATTACTGTAACATACCATGTTAACAGAATAATGAAGAAAGCCATATGATTATCTCAGTAAATACAGAAAACATAATAAAATTTAGTATCCTTTGGTGATTAAAAACTTAAAATAGGTTAGAGGGGAACCTACTTAATCTGAGAAAGTGTAAATATAAAAAACCTACATCATATATTTTACTTAATGGTGATATATTTAAATCATTCTTTTTGAGATTGACAGTGTGAGTAATTTCTTATCACCAGTTTCTTTTGGGGCCCAGTAACTGCAGTAAGGTCAAGAATAAAAGAAGGGAAGAAAGATAGGTACAAGGATTAGAAAGGAAGAAAGAAAACTGATGTAGGCAAAAGAATGTACAGATAAAATATTAGAATTAAAAGGAGTTTTAGTAGAATTGCTGAATACAAAATCAATATATGAAAAGCAGTCACAGGAAATGGTAGTTACTTACAAAGTTAAACATATACTTAACATGCAATATTCTGATTCCATTGCTAGGCACTTACTTATGAGAAATGAAAATATATGTACACACAAAGACTTTTATGTGAATTTTTATAACAATATTATTCATGATAGCCAAACAGTATGAACAGTTCTAATGTCCATTGGCTAGTAAATGGATAGACAAAATGTGTTAATCCATACACTGAAATACTATTTAGCAATAAAAAGGAATGAACTACTGATGTGTGCTACAACATAACTCAAAAATATTGTAAGTGAAAGAACCCATTTATATTGTATGTTTCCGTTTATATGAAATCATCAGAAAGAGCAAATCTAAAGAGACAGAGAGCGGGCCACTAACAGTAATTGCCTGTGACTGGGGTGGAAGTGGGGATTGGTTGCATATGGATATGGGGGATATTTTTCGGTTGTGGAAACATTCTAAAACTAGATTGTAGAGGTGGTTGTATAACTCCACCTGTATCATTTCTCTTCTTCCTTCCATCTGATCTGACTGCACATACTGGCCTAAATTTTCACTTTTTGGAGCCCAGAATATATTGATAAATAAAGGCCAAGAATTTCAATCTTTGAGTGATGAGTAGGAGGCAAACAAGAAAAATGAGTGCAGTAGATGCTAAGAGAATCTGTCCACCATGTAATTTACAGCAAATTTGTTTTGATAGATAAAGTTTGCTCAGATAAGCCCTTTCAACCTTTATTCACGAACACACGCAGAGACCCCTTGTATTGAAAAAGTGTAAGGTCTACTGGGAACCATTTGCTCTGGTTCTCCTCATCTTTCCTTTACACATTCTTAATCCAGTGTTACAGCATACACAGACATGTCCACTTATCCTAATAAAAGACTAAGTTAATTGGATAAATTGAATACACAAAGGGAACTCAAATTTAAAGTGATGATGATGTTTTTGGAGATGAGATGCCTCTTACAGTTTCTTTTTTATAATTAGAGAATTTTATTTTAAAGCTAATATTTACCATTTATAATTCATATTTTTAAAATGTATAGTTTTCTTCAAAGTGACTGCATTTCTGTACTTTAACCTGTGTTTAAGGCAATAGCACTTTATTGCTTGAGAGTTATATTTATGGCTTGAGAGTTATATAACTGATGTTTTAAATTTTGCCTTTTCAATTTCTTTTAAGTTTTGCAAAAATTCTTATTTTATTTGGGACAGTCATATTTTTTACTGTAATTATATTGTTTTATTCTCGAAGTGGTTAGGAAGTTGTTGTTTTATATTGTAGTATGTTAAGTAAATCATTAGTTATATTATTTGAGGACTTCCACTGTATTATTATTACTATTCATTCAGAAAAGCAAATAAGCCATATATATACTGCTTGATGAATTATCAGTGTTTTCACCCTCATGTAATTACTACTAGGTCAAGAAATAGGTCCAGTCAATTTGAAAGTTTCATGACTTGTGAAAGCAGAGCCTGGGGAATTGCTTAGGAAGGGGTCAATTACTTAAGGATTTCTCTTTGACCAGTTTTTACGTGTACTACTTATATACCATGCTGCTTCAAAGGAGCGTTGCATTTTCTTCTTGCTTGGTCATAAACGGATTCAAAGTATTAATTTTGTATTTGATGTAGGAACACAGTTGGACAGAATGAATGGAAAATTACAAGTGATCAAGCAATAAAATCAGGATTGTTTTTTGAAGATAAACCGAAGCCTTCAAAGCAGTCACTTCAGTCTTACCAAGAAGCTTTGCAGCAGCAGGTATTCATTGATCCGTTCATTCATCTGTTAATTCATTCATTTAATGTTGAACATTTAATGTGTTTGCACAGTCATTTTAGAATTTGGAGCGTAGCAGAGGAGAAAAAAAGATACCCGTTAGTCGTAATTCGCTATGATAAGTTTTGATGTAGGTAAGCTGGAGTACTGTTGGAAGCATAGGAGGGGGAGAAAAATCGCCTGGGCATTTAGGGCCTCACATGGCTCTTGATATTTGAACTGCATACATTGACTAGATTTGAAATTCCTGGTCTATTCAGGGAATGGAATTGATTTGGGAGAAAGGCCTGGAGTGTTAGGTTGTGTTGGATTGTGAAGGGCTAGCCGTGAGGGGTTGTCAGTTTTATTCTGCTATGGATAGCCAAAGGGAGGATGTTTTAAGCCACGGAGTGAAAGGAGTGGTTGATGTGAGCAGACTTGGCTATTAGGAAGATACCTGTTTGTGATGTGGACGGTTGGGAAAGAGATGTTGCAGAGAGATCTTTTAGTAAATTACTGAGGTAATCCAGCCAGCAGCTAATGAAGCCTTGGACACCCAATGGGGGTGGATGGGGAGGACATCCAAGGGGTAATACTGGGATTTCAGTGATAGGACTTAGGTACAGGGAATGAGAAAGAACAGAAGGTTTGAAGGCGATTCTGAGTGTTGTTATCCAGGAGAATAAGGAGGCAAATGAACTAAGGTAGGGAAAAAAGAGGTAGGACGCTTTTAGGGAGGAGGATAAGGGGTTCTGTTGTAGATTGTAATGTTCGAACAGAGTTTACTGAAGAGTAACTATCAAATGTATGGGCTTTGCGGGGGGAATATCTATTATCTCTGAGAGGATCCTGGAATTCTTGGTAGGTGTATGTCCACCTGCAGTAGTTTTCTGGAAAGTTCCACTTGGATTTCTTTTAAAGCTCCTTTCATTCAGTTTTTACATGGGCAGCCTTCTTGAAAAATGGATTTTTAAAAGTTATAGAATTACCAACATTATTTTTTAAATGTTAGGATTCTACAAAAAAGTGAATTTACCTTCTATTTTCAAATAAGCATATTAAAAACACCATTGACAAAACTAGATTTTCTAACTCTAGAATTTTATTTTATGTATGTATGACTTCCTTTGCTTTGCTGGAGTGGTTGCTTAAATTTTCCATGCAAATGGTTATAACTTTAAAAATAATTTTCTAAAATGCAGATACGTGTTCACAGCCTGTCCTTATTTCGAAAGAACAAGCTTGTATTTATACTTGATGACGATGAGACCGTATTTTAAATAGCCCAGTGTTACTCAAAGAGCTTTGAACTTGTAACCTTTTTGAATTCTGGGAAGGGAGTTTGCCCAGGGTACAGTAGATCTGGTGAGGAGTGGGGAGTAGCTTGTGGCTGGCCAGGGCCTATGAAAGGGTAGGTGAAAAACAAAAGTAGGGAGATCCGATTGGTCCCCATGGAACTGGTGAGGTCAGAGAGGTAATGGCTCATGTAGACACTGGGGGTATGAGGGAGGACTTGGCTTAGTCCAAAGTGGCAAAATGTGGCTGGAAAGGACTCTAGTGGCATGATGTGAGGGATTAACAGCCATGTGTCCCAGCCATCAAAGTCTTTTAAAATTGGGTATCGCCTATATTTGTGATTTTAAATTTTATAATGAAGCACACTGAAGAAGAAACTCAAGTTTTTTTTCCAATAAGAAAAATAAAATGAGTTATTAAAATTAACTTTTCGTATCAGCCCTGGCTGGTGTGGCTCAGTGGGTTGGGTGCTGACCTGCGAAGCAAGGGGTCACTGGTTCGATTCCCAGTCAGGACACATGCCTGGGTTGCAGGCTAAGTCCCCAGTAAGGGATGCATAAGAGGCAACCACATAGTGATGTTTCTCTCCCTCTCTTTCTCCTTCCCCTTGCCTCTTTAAAAATAAATAAATAAAATCTTTAAAGAAAAAAACAAAACTAACTTTTTGCATTAAAATACTTGTCAGCACTTACTGTGATTATTTCTTGTGTTGTCAAGATTCGGGAAAGAGAAGAAAGAAGGAAGAAAGAACGTGAAGAGAAGGAAGAATATGAAGCTAAACTAGAGGCTGAGATGAGAAGTTACAACCCCTGGGGGAAAGGTGGAGGTGGTGCTCCTCTCAGGGACACTGAGGGAAACCTGATAAGTACGTTAGTTCCATTATTTTGTTGTTTCTAAAGGAAACAAAATGTGTTTTAGGGCTTTTTATCTTTATTAACTAAAAAGGAATTTTGCAATTTTATGCCAAATGAGATCTGAAATATATTTTATGGACTTTATTTCTAAGATGGTAAACACTTGAGCTGATTTGATTTAGTCTTTAGCCCGGGGACATGGACAACGAGAGAATTCGTGTTTTGGAGATGTACAGGATAAGTTCTAAGACAGAATTGAAGGGCTACTTCATTAGCCGCAGAAAGCCAGGTCTCTTTAAAGTTGGACTGGACACTGAGAAATCCTACGTTGCTGTTGGGTTCAGACCTCCATGAGGAAGCCCCTTCTCTCTGTTTGTCCTCATACATCTCAGGAAATGTATCTCTATTTTTTCAGATTATTTGTACTCTCTTGTCTTCCCTTGTTCCCCATCAAGAGGTAGATGATGTTACAATTTCCTGTTACAGAAATTTTTATTTTCTAAAGTGGTCATAGTGGTGGCTTGCTGACATTCCAGAAGTACTCCATGTACTAAACACAAAAAGTCACTATGAAAAAAAAAATATTTTTAACTTTTGAAAAGATTGGAAAGTAGGAAGGAATGCCAATCATAGCCTCTATGGCAGGGTCTCTTTTTATATAGCTTAATGCAAAAGAGGTATTTTGATAATTAGTATAGTAATATGGTAGAAAGTCTATCTTCTTCAAAGTTCTATTCATTTATTTTTATTAGAAATTGTCTATCCTCTGATGATAATGACTCAATTGCAGAGAAAATTGCATGTTAGTTGGCAAGTTTTTACCTAAACTAGTAGTTAGAATTTAAAGAATTTTCTAGTGCCCTGACTGGTGTGGCTCGGTTGGGTGTTGTCTCACAAAACAAAAGGTCCCTGTTAGATTCCCGGTCAGGGCACAAGCCTGGGTTGTGGTCTCGGTCCCTGTTTGGGGTGCATACGAGAAGGCAACCAACTGATGTTTCTCTCACACATTGATGTTTCTCTCCCTCTCATTCTCCCTACTTTTTCCTCTCTCTAAAAAGGGAATAAAAAAAATCTTAAAAGAATTTCAGTGCTTGCTTCAGCAGCACATATATTAACATTGGAACGATACAGAAAAAGAAGAATTTCCTAGTAAAAATAATGAACCCTTATTATAAGGGTTTTGTATATATTACGTGTGTGTGTGTGTGTGTGTGTGTGTGTGTGTGTGTGTGTAGCTAGTAAGATATCTTTAAAATAAGTGATCTGGAATAGTGTGCAGGAGATGTTTAATTCATATAAAAATAAGGAATGAAAAAATTAAGTACTATTTATGTATTGTTTATCTGTAGGTATCACATAATTAGCCATGGTCTAATAAATTTTTCAGGGAGTAGAATTATTCTCCCACTTGTGAATCTGTGACATTTTCTTTGTTCTGTTTATTGTGGATTATTCTTACAAAGCTAGCAATTTTGTATTAAATGATATGATTTACACTTGAAATAAAGGCCCCTTTTCAATGACATCTTTGCAGTTGGCAAGTTACACTCTTCACAAATGTGCCTTTTTAATTTTCACTTTTTAGCTGACTTCAAACCTTTTATTATCCCATATAAAGATAAAGGAGTGACAGTTGATTGACAAATCATTTTTTCTCGTGATTTTTCATGATTACTGAATCTGATAGTCTTAAATCTTAAATAATAATTATGTACTCTGCTGAAACTAATTTTATTTTTATATAAATACATTGACTACTCTAATTGAGAGGATCATGTGTAATCACAACAGTAAATTATAACATGTTACTGATCTTGAAACTTATTATAGTGTTTGTTTACTTACAGGGTATTTATCTTTTAATTTATGGTTTGTGTAGGTGAATATCAAAATGAGATTACATTCCCTAACCACTCACTAGCAGGTAACAGCCATGGCCTGTGTGTATCATCTGGAAGGAGTGAGCTTGATATACTGCAACATTGTGACTTCTCATTTATGTAGACAGGTCTTAATGCTCTTCTAGCAAATTGGATGACAATGAGATTATTGATTTCCCATTTTAATTATTCCATTTTTGTGATACATTTAGGGACCTAAATTTTTCCATCATCCTTCTATTTTCATTTACTCCCATATCCAGATGATCTCAGGATTTGGAGATGATTTCATGAGCATCTAGCTAATTCTTGTTTTACAGTCCTTGGCACTTGGTAATTTTCTTCTAATCAAATTTGCTCTGTGATTTCACCCAGTCCTTTCTCACATTTTCAGTTTTTCTACTCTTTTCTTCCCTTCCACTTCTGAACATACTTGTATTCTTAAACACACACATACAACTCTTGACCTTGTTATACTTCCCTTATTATATAAAGCATATTCAAACAGTAGTATGTGTTTGTTGCTGCCAGTCTTGCCTCTATTGCTTTGTATTCCACAATATGACTTCTAGCTGCCACCGCTCTACCAATGCTACATTTTCAGAAATAACTGATGTCCTGATTTCTAATTCATGGTTTTTACCATTGTCAGCTCTCCTTTTCTTTTTAAAGATTTTTTATTGATTTAGAGAGAGCAGGAGGGAGGAGAAAGAATGAGAGAGAAATAACTACTTGTTGTTCCACTTATTGATGCATTCATTGGTTGATTCTTGTATGTGCCCTGACCAGGGATTGACCCCACAACCTTGGTGTATTAGAATGATGCTCTAACCAACTGAGCTATCCTGCCAGGGCTAGTCTTCTTCCTTTTTGAACTGTGTTGGCAACTTCTTCCTTACTTCCTTTACATCCCATGCATCATCTCAGATTCTGTCCCCTTTTCAACTGACATCAGATGCATGTTATGAACCAGGTTAAATACTTCTCAGTCTGGGAACATGATCTTTGTTCTAGGACTGTGTTCTAATATGCATTCCTTGAGTTAGATATGCTCTTCCTCCATTCATTCTCTCCCACTTCAACTCTTGTACTCCTATGTCTCTCTTTAGGTCTTCTCTGTGGATGATCTTACTATCCTTTTCTTTGCCCCTGACGCTTTTAAAACTCTCTTTTTCAGTTCCAACCTGTCTTCCGCATCTCTGCACCTGAGGCTTGGTGGATTATGCACACCTAGCTTGCAAAACCAAACTTTACTTTGTAAATCCAGTTCATCGTTGCTGTAAATGCATCATAATTCTGTTCATTAAGACTAAAAACTGAAACGTTCTTTTGATTCCTTATATCCAATAGGTTCTGCCTCTTCAGTGTTCTTTGAATTCTCTTCATTTTCATTCATGCTACCACCATAATTGAGATTTATGTCTTAATCGGGCTTTTGCCATTTCCTCATTACTTCTTCATTCTTCCTCCTTTGTTTTCTACATCCAAGCTATATGTATCAAAAGTATACCCAATTTTCCATACTCAGAATCATTGAGGATTCTGGAGAGTTCACATTCTTGCTCTGCCCTTTACTGGCTTTGTGGTCTTTGAGCAAATTAATTTAGTTTCATTTTCTCATCTCTAACACTGAGGTGAAAGTAGTAGTACAATATCATATAGGTTATATAGAATATAAAATAGTGAATATTAAATGTTAGCTGCCATTATTACTAGTACTACTACTATGACTAACAAAACTGCCTTTACTACCAGAACAGAACAGAACAGAACAGAATTGAGAATCATCAGCTTACCTTTCAGGATATTCCAGAACAGGCATCCAGCCTGTATTTTCCTGCTTTATTTCTCATTGCTTTATTAGGTGTGTTTTGTACTCTTGTCAAGCTGGACTACTTCAGGTGTTGCTGGAACACTTCATGTTTATCCCCGTGAAGCTGTTTCTCACACTGCTTCTTTATTAAGCTTTTGCACCCACCTTCACCTGTGAAATTCTAAGTCTGTCCTGTCCTAAATGTTGCAACAGGATGTGACCTTCCCTCATTCTGAACTTTCATTCTCTTTGGTAACATTCACTTGTTATTTGCCATGTTCCCTCTGGTGTTCTAATTGTGATTGATGTTCAAGGCACATGCTTGAACATAACAGGCTTCCTGCAGACTACTTCTTACATCCAGGTTTAAACTTGCTTTCATTGTTGCAGTGCTGTCCAAATTGTTTGTGTGGAGAACTACTTTTTGTTTGTTAAAGCTTTTGAGCTCTTCAGTTATTGGGGTCTGTTTTTAAGATTAATTCGTTGTTTGACCCAGTCCTGTATGCTCAGATTTTTGCCATGTGTATGTGCTGTCTATTGCTGTGTAACAAATTACCCCAACATGAACTGTTTTAAAATAACACTTATTATCTTGCAGTTTGATGAGTCAGTAATTTGTGAGTGGTTTAGCTGGATGGCCCTGTCTCAGGGATTTTCATGAGCTTGCAGTCCAAGATGTCACAGTGTGGGTTGTAGTCATCTTAAGGCTTGACTGGGTTTGGAGAGTCTGTTTCCAATCTGGCTCCCTCACGTGGCTCCCAAGACTTCCATTTCTGGTCACATGGGCCTTTGCCTAGGGCCTCTTCAGTGTCCCTGTGATACAGTAGCTGGCTTTCTTCAGAGTGAGCGAAGCAGTAGATCAGGCAAGGAGGAAATCATAACGTCTGTCATGATGTAGCCTCGGAAGTCATATACCATCATTCTGCAATGTCCTGTTCATAAGAGTGAGTTATGAACAATGGCTGTCACTGGGGGAGGGGATCTGAGTTCCATCCTTAAGGGAGGATTGCCAAAGAATTTGTGGATATGTTTTGAAACTGCACACAGTTACATTTTTTTCATTAGGAATGCTAATGATGTTAGGTAAATTTCACTATGACTTGTTTTGAATTGTTGCTATATTTCTTATATTAAAGAGATTCCAGGTTCTGAAGTAACAGATCAAAGTGATTTTTATGGGTTGTCAAAGATTTACATGTTCTTAAGTTCTTTACTAATTTTGAGTTTATTTTGTAAGATTATTTTTTAAAAAATCCCTAAGTTTTGGTAATTTTGTTTCTGTTTTCAGGGCACCGAGATATCATTGAATTATTCCAGCTCTGTCCTGTTGTTTTTCTCTCAGAGTTCCTACTTGGAGAAAATGTATTGAGCATACTAATTATAGAAATGTATTTATTGAAATAAACGGCTTATTTTTCCCTCTCAGCTGATTTGAATAGGATGCACAGACAAAATATAGATGCCTACCATAACCCAGATGCAAGACCATATGAAGATAAAAGGGCTGTTGTATCACTAGAACAAAGTTTAGCCACTTCAAATGCTGAGAACCTAGAAGATTCTGCAAATAAAAACTCAGGTGTTTAATCACATTCTATTTTTTCTTTTACATTTCTAAAATTGTTCAGTAACATTTCTGTTCTCTGACAAAATCTTACTATATTTTGTGAATATTGTTACTCTGAGTCAGGAAGCATAACATGTTATTTGTGCTTTTTATAATACCTTTTCCTCATAGGTATTTTGAAAAAAAGTGAATAGGGAAATGTAGTTTGCTTCTTAATATTGTTTCTTCTCAGCTTTGTAATTTGCTTACATATATTTTAGCTGCAGCTAACATTTTTGTTTTGCTAGTAGGAGGACATTGCTTAAAATGAAATAGTCTTTTTACACATGTAGTTGGCTTCTTATACCCATAACTGTTTGATTGAATTGGTGAGCGGCATCAGATGTGGTATGATAAATTGTACAATGAAATTAATTTTTTCCTTTTTTTAAATAATCATTCACCCTCCCTTGTAAAACTACAGTGTACAAAGAACTGAATAATTACAAGTTTAATTTGATGCCTTGTCACGTTCTCCTTTTTTTAAGCAAATACCCTTCAGTTAAAAGTGCTAAAATTGAAAATTACTCATCTTTTTTTATGACTTGTGAGGAAAAATTGTCATATTTTTCTTTATTGAGTGTATATGAAAATATGTTACAAACATAAAAATCAAAGGAAGTTGATGCTATAAAAGTAGCCATTTATTTGCTACAAATTCTGCTTTTGTACTTCTGCAAAAGTTTTGATTTTAGAGTAGAAAGAATTTTAAATTAGGAAAGCCTTCTAAAATATCTTGGACTTTAAAATTTTGTTATTTTTAACCCAAATGGCTGATTAGCCAAGTGGCAGATTAAATGGGAAGCTGTGACTAGAATCACTAGCCTTGCATCTTTCAAGCCTTAATGGTAGTGCTACTCTGTGCAGCCTTTCTGAATGCTCAGCAGACGAAGTGTGTGTTGTTTCCGTGGCAGCCTGTATCACTGTTTGGTCCCTAATTACCAGAAATGTTTTCTTACTCTGCTTCACAATAGATTTTACCTAGTGGATCTACTTTTGATTTTGGGAACACTAAAATTGGAACTTTTGATTTTGATGAAATTATCCGTATGGCTCTCACTGTGGGTCTGTAATAATTCATTTTGCAATAGGAGCATCAAAGCACCTTTTCATATTTTTGCTGCTTAGAGAATTTTGGTTTCTTTTGAATTATCATTATTTTTCTCCTCATTTGCCTTTTCTTCTAGTAGTCTGAATTGACATCTCTGTGCTATAGACCCCATTCTCTGTCCTGTTCTCCCACATCTAGTATTGTTTGTAGTTCTGTCTCAGCCTAGGACTTTCTCTGTGTTAGCAATAAGCTTAGCTCTGCTTGCCAGCAAATCCTGAGGAAATAAAGTTTCCACAGCCCCTTCCCAAAGGAGCTCAAGCCTGATGATTGCAGGTGCTCAGAATTTGTTGTCTATAGCCTTTCTGCACACTGCCAGGATTTCCCCCTTATTTTGTGAGTTGAAATTGCCTAAATTAATTTTTATTTCCTAATAACCTAAAATAGACTTTCTGAGTGCAAGAAGCTAAGTCGCCTAATTTGTTGCCATGCCATCATATATGTGTATGAGTGTGTGTGTGTATACATATATGTATATTATGTGTGTATTTATACATATATGTGCATTTAATGTATTAAAACTCTTAGGGAACATGAGTATATCTGAAAATTGAATGTTATAATGTGTGCTTAAAGTTCATTATCCAGAATGTTTTGCCTTTATTGAGTCTGTTTTGAGGTTCTTCCTAACATTCATTTTTTCCCCTTTATGGTTCTTAGATGATAAGAACTATATTTATGAAATCATACTAGTTTGATTTAAATTTATTTTTTGGCTTATCGTGATGCCTAGATACATTTCTATTTTTGTGTAGAATAAGTATTTCTCTGTGGTTTTATTTTTATAATTTATTTATTTTTAGAAGAACTTTATCTTGTCTTTTCCTGTCTTTAAAATTTCTTCTCTAACTGGCCCTAAGGCTTAGAATTTGAGTGATCATTAAAGTGAAACATTCCATTCAATTTTTTTTGCTGATTAGCTTTTCCATGATAGCATAAGATTATAATGTAGGTATAAGTATTGATTTGGCTTTCTGCTGATCTATTAAATAAGCATTAATAAATTTATTTATTTAGTAGCGTTTCCTTAAAGTAAATATTTTTAAAAGGTTTTTTTTTTTTGTATTTTTCCCATTACCATTTAGTCCCCTATAAGGGATTTAAGGGGAGCATTAATACACTTAAATACGGAGGCAAAGAGACCTACATGGCAGCTCAACTTGCAGACAGTCAGCCTACATAAACCACATGAGTGAGAGAAATAAATGCTTTACATTGATGGTATAAAGAATGAGCCAGTAAATAAAAAATACAAAAAGTTATATGAGGCTTAAATTTAAATACCATTTTTTTCTTTCTGCATTCATAGAGACTCCTGAGGTATAATTATTTTTTAACTTGCTTTTATGAAGTAATATTTTTTCCTTTCTCAAAATGTGTAATACTATAGATAACATTTTTATTATTCATTTATATCCCATTAATTCGATAGAATTTTTAAATAAAAATGATTGCAATGATGAAGAGTCATTTTAATTTTTAAAATGTTTTTAGATCTCATTTATTATTTTAACCATAGATGGAAAGACTTTGGATTTACTGACTTTTTAGACAATTTAGATATTTTTATATATATATAATATTTTAATATATAATTAACCATTATTCTTAAGAAAAGAATATTTACAACCATAAGAACTTAAACTTATTTTTTCTCTCCATAAATTTTACTTTAAAGCCCTTGCTGTGGTCAGAGTTATTTAGGTATTAGCTTTTAAGTTTTCTTGGTGTCTTTCAGGTACAGATACATTATGATTTTTCAACTTCTAATTTTAGTTTCACCATTTTTCTTTCTTTCATTACTTTTCATTACTTCAGATTCAAATCCCAGTTTTCCTTTTCTGATTGTAACCTCTAGACTTCCATATTTAGCACATTTTTTCAAAATATGAATTTAGTAGCTAACTCTTCGTTTTTTAATGTTTATATTTTCTAAGCATTGGCTAATAATATGTTTTTGTAAAATTTCTCTTTCAAGGTCATATGCAAACACACAGCTCTCCTTTTGCTCGAGGAAATGTATTTGGTGAGCCTCCAACTGAACTTCAGATTAAACAGCAAGAATTATACAAGAATTTTCTTCGGTTTCAGGTGAAACATTTACCTGATTATAATTTAAAAGTTTCATAAGAGTTTTAATAAACTAAGTGTGCTGCAATTTTATCCACAGGATAAAGGGTAAATTCTAAAAAAAAAATGAATTCTAAAATGCCATGCAGTTACCTACAGTGTTTATATCATATATAGGTAGTACTAAAATTATGTCACTTATATCTGAGAAAGGAATAAGGAAACATGTTAGGTATACCAGTTGGCTTAATCTTTTCTAAACTTTATTAAATAATTGTTAAAGAGTGCTGAAATTTTTAAAACTGACTTAATAAAATATTCGTCTATTAGGCATAGTCTTTCTAGATGCTTCTGTGTTAGTAGAAAGTCAATATTTTTTCCCCAGAAGATTTGATACCCTTGACTCAGTAGTTGAGTTGTAAATAAAGAAAAATTTGATGTAATCACAACTGCCTATATTTGCTGCATTTATGTATGTAAACAAGTAGCATTTAAAATACTAAAAACGCCCAAAAGAAGGCATTTGATCATCCGGTGTTTATTAAGCAGAGTTAGTGAACTCCCATCCTGGGCCCAACTGTGCTGAATACTGTGGAGGGTGCCTGCGGCGAACGAGAGCCCTGCTCACGAGGGACTCGCAGTTCCTTCTCCCCTCCCTGCCCCTCCCACACTGACATTCCAGTTTCATATTAACCTGTGGCCTGCTTAATCTTCCTTTCATATGACTTCACATGTTACTCTTTTTTACTTAAAAACCTAGTAGTCGCTTTTCTTTCCTACAGGAATTTCCAATGTCCTTAGTCTGACTTTTAAGGCTGTCCAATCTAATCCCAATTTCTTAAATTCCTCGTACAGAGATGCTACTCAAACATGTCATGTCATCTTTCTCATCCTCATTTTGTGGATGCTCACATGAGGCAGTGACGTAACAGGTGCTGTCTTAGAGATGATTGATCTGGCGTCAGTGTTGAGGATGGATTGGGAGGTTTAAAAGTTTGGGAGCAGGGGTATTTTACTAGCATGGTGACAGTGGAAATGGAGGGAAAGGCTGTTCTCAGGATCTCCAGAATGAATAGAGATGTTGAGTATAAGAGAATGGCATTAGAGGCCCCAAGGGTATTGGCCACTCAAGTCAGGCAGCAGCGTTTTGAGGGTCATAGAGTTAACCTGTTGAACTTGAAAGACCCTGTGGCATGGTGCCCATAATGACAGCAAGTCAAAATTTTAGTAGCTTCTGTGGTACTTAGCAAGTGTTGGCATGGTCTAGGGTAGAATTCAGGAAATGAATAAACTAAAACTTGCAATTGTATAGCTTGTTGTTGTTTATAAGATACTTTTACATGTAGTATCTCATTAAACCATAAAACCCTCTGAGAAAGGTATATAATTTTATGACATGAAATGAAAATACAGGCAAAGAGGCTCCTCCATGGTGGCAGAGCTAGCAATTGTGAGGCCAGTGCTGGAACCCAAGTCTCCTGACTACAGGATCTAGTGGGTATAGAACTTGTATTTATTTCTAGGGGGTTCTAGGAAGTATTCCTCTCTGGAAAGATCTACTAGTAATGGGGGACCTTTGACTCTCGGTTTCAGAATAAGTGCCGCCCTCAGGTCTCCCACCCGTGAACCCTCAATGGACCCATGAGTGGATTGCCCTCAAATGGTGGTTTACGTGTTTTTCTTTTAGCAGCCTCTTACCCTTCCCCATTTTTTCCCCTCAAAGTCTAACACAGAACTGGCTAAATGGTATTTAATCTAGTGTCAGACAAGAAGTATCCTCAAACTTAACTGTTAAAAGGGATGTTATAAAATGTTCAAATCTATGCACAAAAGTGGCAACAGAAGCTTTGGCTCCATATCTGCACCAAAAATTTAAGTTAATGCAGCAGAAGTATTCATGTGGTTATTTACCAGAATTTTAACTTGGTAAATAACATGCATGAGTGCTCAGATACCATTTTTAATTAGAGCTTTAAAAATAATACATTTAATAAAATATTTACAGCACTTTTGCGTCATATGGTTTGAAAACCGCTCATCTAGAACCTAGCTTTTCTCTTTCTGTTGAATGACTGTGTAGCATCTCTGTTGGAATGACATTTCTGTAGATGCATTAGGTGTGTGATCTATTTATGAATCAGGGAGAAATGACCCTGATTATCTTTTTTTTCATGGAGTAGGAAGAAATGGGAAACTGAGTGTTAAATGTGAGGTTTCATAAATGATGTTTTCTCTAGGTATATGATATTTGAAGAAATGATTACGTGCACACTGCTTAGTACTAAATATTAGGATTGTGCATATTTAATAGTGTGAGAAAGAAGTGTTGGAAAAAGCTCTAGCATGCAAAATCATGGGACATGTAAGAAGATTTAAGGTCTTACAGCTCAAAAGATTGACAGCACTAGATATAACAATCTTGAAGCTAGAGGCATCGCAGATAAGAACAATAAAATAACATAAATAGTCATAATCAATGCATACTTCAGAGAAACAGAAATCTACTGAATACCCAGTACACATGCTTCCCTACTTCACATGTGGAGGATGCAGACTCTCTCTGAGGGTTCCCTTCCTTCAGATCTTGGACTCTGCCGTGAGATAGTCCCCCAGAGTATTCAGCACTGCATGCCACAGGTGGCATTTAAGATGAAAATTATGAGCCCTTGTGGCTAAAATCCTCTTTTACCTTACAACATGCCAGTAGATGAGCGAGAAGAAAGGGCATACTGAAGGAGGGATTCTTGCATAAAGAATGGCTGAATGCTGAAATATTGATTTTACTGTTTTTCAGGGTACTAATCAAGCCAAGGAACTTTGAGACATCTATTTATCAATTGTCATAACATAATATAATCATGAATTATTTACTAAGTACTTTCTATGTAGGAGGACCTTTTCTGTTTTTTACGTACATTTTCTTTACTTTCATTCTTTGAACAATCCTTTGAGATGCAGACATTAATAACTCTTTATGAGAGAAGAAAACTGAACAGGGAAATTTCTTAAGGTCACACAATTTTTAAATATTTGGTGGAGCTGGAATTTTACTCATAGCTTAAGATTACATCATGTAGCCTCCCTAATAAAATACAGGAAAATGAAAAATTTAGGAGGTTATTTTAACTTGCATAAAGATGATCCAAATATTGAATGCATAGGCTACTAGGAAAAAATTAAGTGGTATTCCAACTTGTCAGTAGTTTACAAAGAAATAACTAGGTTTAATTCTTTAGATTGAGGAGAAGAAACAAAGAGAGGAAGCAGAGCGTGAAAGACTGAGGATTGTAGAAGAAAAAGAAGAAAAACGGCTCGCAGAACAGAGGGCGCGGATCCAGCAAGAGTATGAAGAGGAACAGGAAAAGAAAAGGGAGAAAGAGGAGGAGGTGCATTTTTTCCTACTCTATTTTTCTACTTAGTCTGAAAGTGGAAATTTTATTCTGACTTGAAAAGATATTTATTACTTATAAAGGAGACCAGTCTGGGGGTACATTTAGAAAATACCAGATCATTATTCATTAATTGGATATTATTTTATTAAAATGAAAGACTAAGTTAAGAAGAGATAAATGATGACTTCTTAAGCTAAAAAATAGGCTGACTAAGGATGTTATAAAAGATGCCTAATAATTTATTGTTAAGCAGACAACCTCTTGATGTTAAAGAAAACTGTATCATCTATATCTTCAATTGTATATCTCTTTATTTGAGACAAATAAGGCAGCACATTTTTGAATGGGCTATAAGGATGTATGTATGGAGTGTATATACATTTTTCTCTTTATTTTAAAGCAAAGACTAAAAAACGAAGAGCTTATTCGGTTAGCTGAAGAAAGACGAAAAGAAGCAGAAAAAAAGAAGAAAGAGGAAGAAGAAAAACATAACCAACAACTTCAGCACTACTATGAAAGAGAAAATATAATTGGGGAAGAAACAAAGGTCAGCTTCAGAGAAAAATGTCAGTTGAACTTGTAGTTTAACCCACTTCCATTGTGAGAGTTGTGGAGTTATCAGTATAAGGCAGAGAACGGAGGAGGGGCACTTGTCTTTTCTGTTTTACAGTGGCCACTGGGCGTGTGCCCAGACTTCCTTCACAAGATACGTCCCTGGGCTTTGTTGCTGGTTCCCCACCAAGAGTGCAATAGGTTTACTTAGCTCTTTTTGTCTTGTTCCCATGGTCTATTGACCAGTACCCTTGAGTCCATTCATGACAAGAGTAAGTACAGAAATTGAGAATCAGTATTTGGAAACTTATGTAGCAATTTGTCAAAGTAATTTGATGTCTGTTGAATTTACTAACAAGTTGGGCTTGAATTGTATAATATCTTTTTAAAAATTTTCATTTATGTAGTAATGTGTTCTGACTCTGTTTATACATTTGTTCGTGATGGATTGAAAATTAAAGGAGAAAAACTGGTGGCTTGCCAGGCAGGCTTGAAGAATGTATCTCTGAGTAGGGGGAGTGAAGGTTGCTGTTAGGGGCATGAATCAAAGTCACCGGACAGAGGTTTTCTCTCTAGAAAACCACTTGCCCTTAGAGGATTTAGTTTACACCTGTCCTCATATTTCAAAGCTGTATTTAAAATTCTGTATGTGTAAGTATCATGAAGGACTTGTTAAAAATGCGTGTGCTTGGGTCTCATATATGAAGTATCTGGTTCTGCATTTTTACAAGCATTCTTAGGGGTTCAGATGTAGTCAGCCTGTGGACCACATTTTTAAAAACCCTGCCTATCTTGTAGGTTTAGCCGAATTTAAGAAAATTGTTTTTAGAAATTTAGGTTTATACAAGCACTGATTCTTCTAAGCAGACTCACGAAAAGATCATTTTCAGTGGGTTCTTCTGGTATATGAATGGGTTTGGTACACTGCGCAGCATGTAACCCGCTGCAGATAACATTAGCCATTTCGGAGTGTTTCAAAAGCTCTGTTTGATTTCTTATCTCAGGATTTTATGGTGGTAGAAATGATAAGTATTCACAATTAGAATTAGCTAAAACATTTTTAAAGAAATTTATAAGATCTCTATGTTTTGTTTATTTTCAGTGTTCTAGGACTGTTAGGCAATATTCTTCATTCTTACATAAAAAGTTGGGTATATATTTTTATTTGTTAAGCCTTTTAACATATATTATTCAAATGTCATATTATTTTTTAATTAATAAAGTTTATTTTTTAGAGCAATGTTAGGTTTACAACAAAATTGGGTGGGGAACACAGATTATTTTATTGTTAAGTAGGTTATTTAGCATGAAAGAGACTTATTAGTTTCCCACAATTGTGTTTCTGCCAATTTCTTATTATGTTTAAAAAAGTGCCATTTCTTAGGAATAAATAATTTTATGGCTGTTAAGGTTTAATTGTGAAATACCGTAGAGTTATAAACAAGCTTTGATCTGTTTAATGCATACTGCCCTTAATTCTTACTCAGGTCATTGTTGCTAGATGCCATTTTTCCTTATTTATGTTTGCCTGATACATATTTTTGTCACTCTTTTAGTTTTTGCCACCATTTTTTATTTTTTAGTTAGCTTGTATATTTATTTAGTTTTTGAATTTGTTTTTTGAACCATAATTTGAGAGTTAAATATTTTAAGATAGGGATGTCTAATATATTTAAGATAACCAATATGTTTGATTACATTAATTAAATTTCTCACTTTTTGTTTTGCTTCCTTGATAGTTACTTATTTCCTTATTATGTGCTTTGTTTACATCATTCTCTACTGAGTGTATTGTCTTTAAGATTCTGCTTGTGGTCATCTAAAACTTTTTTAAAAAAGTTCTTTTTTGCTATATATATCTTATTTTATCAATGTCACCAGTGAATGTAATATTTGATTTTTTACTGTGCAAAATTAGCAGTTTATCATCTACACATATACTCTGGTCTGGAGAGGTTTTTTTTTGTTTGTTTGTTTGTTTTTGTTTTTTTTACCTAGATGATTGTTACTGCATTTTTGGGGAGTTTTTATGTTTTTAGCATTTTGACTTGAATGTGAAGTTGGGAACTATTAGCTTTATTATACTGTAAACTGAAATCCTGTTTTATTTTTGTATGGAGACTTAGAACCATATTGTGATCTGGAAAATTCTATCACCCATGATGCTTTTCGTGACAAGGGATCGAGATTTTAGGTGTTAATGTCTGTTGTTTTCCAGAAAAGGGGTTTTGTTTGTGTATTATGCTATTTCTTTTTTTTAGGGTGGTTTTTTACTTTGCTATACTTTTCTTTTTGTTTCTTTCCTATACTCAGTATGCTATTACTTTACTTAAGTTTGTTGAATTATTTTTTCCTCATCTGAGTAATATTTTAATAAGGATATCTAAATCCATTTATGTTTATCATAACTGATATATTTGATCTTATGCAATTGTTTTTCTGACTTTTTTGGTAAAAAGTATTTTATTAAATAAAATCAATACCATTCTGAACTTTTTAGATGGTCAAGTATTAAGAGTGTGTGTATGTGCACACACACGTATATATGTAAATGTGTGTGTGCACATGTACGGTATCGGTATATGTGTGCATATGTATGCATATGTCTTCTTTTTTTTCAGCGTGTGAGGCAGCCTTCTCCTGTGGTTCCTGCCCTGCAGAACAAAATTGCAAGGAAACTCCAAAGACCTCCTTCAGTTGAGAGCATTATAAGTTCTTTTATTCAAGTATATACTTTTTCTTACAATTTGTTAGTCTTAGCTAAGGTATTTTGGGTTGGGGAAATTGGGATTTTCTTATTCATAATACTTAGGTTAAATTTTTTCATATATGAAATATAAAAACTATCTACATTAATTGGTCTGCGGCTTCAGTTGTAACTGATAGTTCTTGGTGCCGTAAAATTTAAATTTTTTGACAAATCATAATTTAGCACATTTTTTTTGTCCAGACCCCCGAGGTCTTTTCTTCAATAATGTATCTTCTTGCTAGTTGTAGTTATGCTAATGAAGTCCCTTATACTTTAGATTGAACTATAGTCAAAAGAGACTGGGGAAAATGTTCTAGAAGGGTTGATCCTGGAGTTGACTCTTGAAGAATGAGTGGGAATTTGCCATAAAAAGGAAGATGGAGGACTTTTAGCATGTGAAAATCAGGGAGGGAAGTGTAAGCCACATGGCACACGTGGAGAATACCCCATGGCTTGGTCTGGGTATGGGAATACCTGGGCACGGTGGTGGAGGAGGTGGAGGTCAGAACATATGCAGGGTATTGTATGGAGTGGGAAGGAGTTTGACTTTATTCCCCAGACTAGTGGCTACCAAACAGATTAAATACCAGAATAGACAAGCATTAGGGGAACATCTTCCTGAATCCCACCCTCTGAGATTCTGATTTAGTAGGTCTGTTGTAGATACTGTCTGGGAATTCACTTTCATATTTAAATAGGAGAATAAGGTGGCTAGATTTGTCTTGCCTACTGTTCTCTCAGGCAGTGGTGTGGAGATATATTTTGGAGACCAGGATGCTTTTGCAGAAATCCTCGTGTGAGACTTTGATTATCTAAACAAGGGCAGTGGCAATAAGAACTGAGAAGAGGTGACAGTGTTAAGATACACTCAAGAGACAGATAGTGGCACTGACTGTGGTGGGTAGGAGTCAGTGACAACCGTCTGGTTTCTGGTGAGGTTACAAAGAGTAGGTGGTTGAAAATAGAGGTTGTGCTAATAAGAAGGTCTGGCCTGGATTTGTAGTTGTGGATAATCGTGAACAATGTTACTTGTCAAGTGAGTACGACTGACTGGGATGAGTTTGGGGGCAGTACAGAGCGCTGAAGGTTGAACACTAGGGAGTTACCAACATTTAAGAAGCAGAGGACGGAGACAGAAAGGTGATAGTGAGTGGCAGTGACGTCAGTTGCTACTGGCGAAGTAAAATAATGGCTTAAAGTGCTCATTGGGTGCATCACTTGGGATTACTTGGTGATTTTGGAGAGAACTTGGTTAGTGGAGAGCTGGGGGCAGAGCAAAGGCGGGAGCTGTGAGGTGAAAAGCGGATGGGGCTCAGGATGTAGGCACCGTCCATACTGCATTTCTTACTCTTTAAAGAAACAAGGCTCTGAAGGGAAGGAGGGGATGGGTGAGAGATAGTGATGACGGGTAAGATGGGAATTTTTTTAAAGGAAGGAGAGATTTTTACACATAGTTAAGATTAAGGAGAGAGGAAAAGGTGGAGAAAAGGGACTAATTTATGGAGTCATTTACCAGCTACAGAGTATAGGCAAAAGGGCGGGGCAAGGACATGGTGGTGGGATGGAAAAATGGGTGGAGGTAGGTTTACAGGTAGGGTGGTGGGGAGTTTGTTGTTTCTTTTTTTACATATAGATACTTCAAAAAAGTGTACTTTTCATGCTGTGAGTAGGGAAGATGTCCTGAGTACCTCTGTCATGATTGTTAAACAGGAACGTTCCGTGTCCCGGGCACAGTCGCCTCCGGTACCTGCCAGAAAAAATCAGCTCCGTGCAGAAGGTAGAGGTGACTCTTAAATCTGTAATCTAGGATATTTTTTAACTCTTTATTTTCAAATAATTGTAGACTTGGAACATTGCAAAACAATATAGAGCTAGACAGGTCCTGGGCACCCTTCCCATTCCCCCCGGTGGTAGCGTCTTGCCTAGCTCAATGTCACCCCCAGGAAATGGCTGCGGCAGCGCTCCACAGGCGTTTGCCAGGCTTCCCCAGCTCCACATGCATCGCTGTGTGTGTCTGCGTTGTGTGTGTAGTTCGTTGCATTTTTACCATGTGGGATTTGTGTAACCACCACGCAGTCAAGGTGCAGAACTGTTTTGTCACCGCAAAGGGATTCCCTTGTGCTGCCCCCTTACAGTAGCATTCTCCCCCTCCCACAAAATGTTTCTCAACTTTTGAATTCCTATATTATCAGAAATGTGTTGGTGGGTCTTAATGAGGTTTATAAATGTGATCTGTATATGGAAAACATTAAAAATAATGTTCATAAAAATGTTTCTCTGAGCATTTTAGCTTTATGGTAAGTCAGGTTATGTTTTAATGCTTAATCTTCTGTTCTTATACCTGTCTTTTTTTTTTTTTCACTTATCAATGGGAATTTGCAGAAGAGAAAAAGAATGTAATTATGGAATTATCAGAAATGAGAAAACAGCTTCGTAGTGAAGAGCGGCGTCTGCAGGGGAGGTTGTTACACATGGACAGTGATGATGAAATTCATATAAAGTAAGTTTCAAGTTGCCTTTTTTATTCCTGAATTTTTTTGTGTTCAGGATGAGGAGCTGTGTGTCAACCAGAACCAATCCTGTAATTCTAGTTTTGGAACAGGGTTAGTTAATCTTTATTGTAAAGTCATCTTTATTAGAATGGATAGTTTGCATTCTTGAAAATGTGTTTAACAATTTGTTAGTGAAATTTTAATGACTGAAATAGCCTTTTCTTCCAAGAGAAATCTAGCTAAATAATTATATGAGTATTCTATTGGAGGGACTCAGTGCTACTAATACAAAAAGAGTGTATGATTTTTAGTCTGTTTATTGTTTGTAGCGTATTAAATGGTGGGTAGGTTGCCCCCCCTTTTTTGGGGGGGGCAAAACAGCCCTTTTAAAAATTAATGTGCTTTTGATTTATTTTCTTCAATTTTACATAGAGTTGTGTTCATAAATTTTTATCTACAACTGTTGAATTTATTCACTGTGAAAACATGGGCTATTAAATGAATACTTATTTAACCTAATATAAAATATTTAAATTGAGCATTGTAACTGTCCTTTTGTACTGCCAATAACATACAGGGTCCTGCACAAATCACCTTTTTTATTACAAAATCTTTTGTTACAAAATCATAAGCATGTAATTCTGTAACATAACAATATCACACTCAAGCACAACATATGGCATTTTAGATGAGATTAACACTATAAATTATTACACTCATATTATTACCCTACCAACCACACTCAAGCAGGTGTTACTTCTGCTGGACCATGTACTTATGGTGGTGGCATTGACAGAGGAGTTGGGGAGAGCAGGAAATCAGCAAAAGAAGAAAGAAGTAGCATATCTTGAAGGAGAACTAAAAGTACTGTCACCAACCATGAACTATTTAATAGGGTTAGACTTAGTGAATGAAAAATAATTGACTAATTGGGACTTTATGTACCCTGGGCAGATGAATGTTGAAGGTGCTTTGTAAGCAAACTTAAGTGCCGATGGAGCCTGGGATGGGGGAGGGGGAGTTGAAGCCAGTCTAGAAGGGGACAGACTAGACAGTTACAGAAATGATCTGTGTACGTCCCTTTCTTAGTCCTCTGCAGAATCAGGTAGAAATTTGGTTCTTGAGAGGAAAATGATATAGGAATGGAAAATGTCAGTTGGAATGATCACAATAACATTGTGACGGCTATTTTTCCATTTTCCTTTAACAATATATTTTTTCTGAAATACTTACTTCCCAGAAGAGTAACTTACAGATGACCACCTATTTCTGAACATTTTTGCCAAAAGGACTCACAGATTTTCTAAGGCAGTGTTCTTCAAATTGTGGTTGCAGTCTTTTAATAGATTTTAAAATCAATGCAGTGGGTAAACCTAAAGGGTGTCTTTTTAAGCAGTCGATTTTGGCATAATTTTAGATTATAGAAAACCTGCAAACAGTACAGCGAGTTTCCATGTGCCCCTTGCTCAGTTTGCCGTGTGGCTAACACCTTAAGGTACCAGAGTACATTTTGCCACAACTAAGAAGCTGACATTGGAAAATTACTACTAACTGGATTTCAGACATTTTTTGGATTTTTCCAGTTTTTCTGTAGTGCCCTCTTTGTGTTCCAAGATCCTGTCAGGCCAGGGACCACACTGCATTCAGTTGTCATGTCTCCCAGTATCCTGTGCTCTGGGGCAGTTTCTCGGTCTCCCCCAGGTTTTCATGGCTGTGACCGTCTACCGCAGGACTGTCCAGGTGTTTTGTAGAATGGCTGCCAATTTGGGTTTCTCTAGCGTTTCCATAATTGAACTGGGGTTAATGGTGTTTGGAAAGAACAGCACAGGGTGCCCCTCTCATCACATCATATCAGAAGGTACATGGCATCTACGTGACATGCTTGGGTTGGGAGCCCTCTTTGTTTGGTTACAGTGGTATTTGCCAGGCCCTCTACCTCAGTTACTGTTCTGTGGACATGAATCACTGTGAGTGGGGCGGGGGTGGGATTAAGCTCCATCTCATGGAGAAGGTGATATATTCCTAATGTGGTGGTCAAGCACGGGGCTCCTGGATCTGAGGGTCCCTGGTCCAGGGGGCGAGTTGAGGTGGGAGTGCAGACTCTGAATCCGGCAGAGCCCGTCCCGAGGGTGGCACGGATGGGGGAATAAACACGAGTCATCGCAAACACTTCTCTGTCTGCCAGGAGAGGCGGCATGGCTCTTCCCTCTAGTGGAGAAGGCGGCCCGAGGCCCCTTTTTCCAAAGGCTTTTGTGAAAAGGTTATCAATGGGGCTAAGTAATAGGAATGTACAGATGATCTCATTATATCATTATGTTAATATTTACAAAGAATAGATGATATTGAGGAAAACAAATGGCAGGAACACACCGATTTACATGGGCCCATTTACATGGGTTTGAGACGGGATGAGTAAACATGAGGGCGTAAACATAAGGGCGCCAAAGGGTTAGGGTTAGGGTCTGTGAATAATGTACATTTCCTTCCCAGCACGAGCTGGCTATCATAGCTTTTGAGGGAAAAAACAAAGCATGCTTTAAAGAATTTACTTCTAGGCCTGATTTCCCTGGGAACCACCAGATAGATCCAATTTAGGACCGTCTCCAGTATTGTTCCGAGCCAGGTCAGGGGAAGGAGCTGCCGAGAGACAAGGAGACTTCTTTCAGATACAGTGAGGCCCTGGCCATATCAAAGCTGAGCCGAGGGGTGTGGTTCTTTTTTCCCTTTTTCCATGTCCTCCAAGTTTTTTCCCTGATGCCTACGTGGCTGTGCCTGTCTTGGGTTGCCGCTTCCAACGAGGGATCTTACCCGTCATTGACTAAACAGCCATCCTGTGGGGCCAAGCAGGGGGATGTGAGGGAGGCCGGGGCTGCGCCCCTGCCAGGGGGACAGGTTTTGTCTCCTCAGTGGCCTGTTTTCCCAAGGCCTCCTTGATTAGTTCCAGCCTTGGGGCCCTCTCGCCTGTCGGTTCCTGAAACCAGACACTGTGTTTCCCAACAACCTAATGTATTTTTTAGAATTCTGTAAGAAAGATTTATTTCTTTCCCCCTTTATTGATTTATTCAGTCATTTATATCACTGTTGTCTGATGTGTATCTAGTTTGTACTTTGGGTTATAATCTAGTATTACATTATTTATGTTGTTGCTCAGGGAGTTGCAGCTTTGGCCCAATATTGGGAGCTCTTTCAAGGTTGGCTCCTGTGTCCCTTTGACATGTCCCCATCCTTTTGTTTTTTTCTTTGAGCATCTCCTTACTTTTTGGTTCTAGAGCTCACTTGAGGATCATCTTGTGTTTTCCCTGCTCCAGCCCTAGAATCAGCTTTTCCTTTGAAGGGCCCTGGTTCCTCTTGCGAAGTTGTGTTTAGAAACCAAACTTTGGATGCTGGTTGTTGTTGCTGGGTGTCATTGCTTCCAGGCCTTGGGCAGAACGAGATAACACATGTATGCATACTCAGTCTCAGACATATCTATAATTGTTCCTGTGTCTACCAGTTAGTATATAATATATTTATTTAATTTTATTTTTATCCTCGCCCAAGGACATATTTATGGATTTTAGAGAGAAAGGAAGGAAGGAGGGGGTGGAGAGAAAGAGAGAAACATCAATCTGTTGCTTTCCTTATGTGCCCTGACTGGGAACTGAATCCACAACAATTTGGTTTAAAAGATGACGTGGCAATCAACTTAGCCACGTGAGCCAAGGGCTATAATTTATGTTCATACTCTCTTGGACTCCAATCTCATATGTGGTAGGATTTTAATGTAGCATGTTAACCTGCCTAATTATGCTTTGCTTAGATTTTTGTTAGCATTCTCCAAGCATGTTATGGCTAAGTAAACAAAGGAAATTTTGAGCTACAGCCTGGCTAGATAATGAAATGTTAAGCCAAGGTGGCAATTTTCAATGAATAATTCATCCATATAGTAGGTCAGCTACTACTAAGTAATTGAGAGGGTCAGTATTTTTTTTTTAATATTTACTTTTATGATAATCTAAATGCCTTAATTCTTACTGCTTTCTATAAACATGCATATTTAATTCAGTCAGTGGATTGTTTTATTTATTTTCATTCATAAATTGAAGACTGCTTTCTTTTGGCAAACCAGTAGGAAAGTTAAGTGAAAGAGAAACCAGGCAGCTTTTCAGTTTTCTCATTTGCCAACCATACGTGGTGATTTCTACCCCATGAGATTCTAGTGAAGAATAAGTAAATGTACATATTTGAAAGTACCTTGGAAATTCTACATGTTAAGTTAGATAAGTTAGATATGGTAGAATTACAATCACTTAGCAAGAATTGGTAAATACATTTACTTTGGTATAGTTTTCATTGTGTATCGTAATCAGAGACACTTCACAGTTGGCTCTTTATTCCAGTTTTGTAGTAATTTCACAAAAAGAAACTTTTATTCATTAAATTCACATTATTGAGCTTCTACTATGTACTAGGCACAAAACAAACTCAAGCTAGTTCACATGCACAGATCTAATAACGTAATTCCTAATTTAGCAGCCTGTTTAACTATTAGCATTAATGAAACCAGGTAGGACTTCTGAATTTGATGGCTTTCTAGTATTTGTTTTACATTTTAATGAACCTCCACTGCAGCTCCTATCACCCTAGTTGGGTCACTGTTAGAGTCTGTGTCAGCCTTGACAAGGTAGTTTTGTGGCGCTGGTGAGTCCCTCCCTGAAAGGGCACTAACTCCAGGAGAGCAGGGCCATTGCCTGTCGGGGGTCCCGCTGCTCCCCTCTAGGTGCCAGGGAAGATTTAGTGAATGAAGAAATGAAGGCAGCGGTCTGGCCAACTCTTAAACCTGTATCTTAGAGCTACATTTTCAAAACTAGTGCTGAGGGAAAGAATTGGCTTTATTTTATTTTCAGGGCTAGAGCACCATGCACCATCCCTGTCCTCTCCTAACATCACTCCCCAAAGCCCTACCGCACCCTTTCTGAGCTAGCTGCCTGTTACACTAATTCCCTGGGTGCCAGAGGAATAGAGTGTTAGTTAATTAGGTATCAAGTCTTCTGAAAACCTATTGTAAAATTAGTGTGGGGGACTGTGGATGATAACTCCTTATATTGGGCAGCATATTAATACTGTATTTTTCTGTATAATTTCTATTTTAGGCTGTGGGGGAAGGTAACATTTACTGAGTACCTAATACCTGTCAAGTACTATGCTGGGTCCTGACAGTATATAATTTCACTTAATTCTCATACTCTTAAGACTAAAAGGGGCAGATACTCTGCATCTCACAGATACTGAAATCAAGGTCAAACTGCTAATGAACAGCAGAGCAGGTCTTTGGATTGCGGTTTCTCTGACCTCAAAGAGTGATCCTTCTACGATATGAACATTTTAACATAAAGATAAATCATTTTACTCTTATAATAAAGTACTTTCCATCTGAGCATTTTGAAAGATTATAAACAATGACCATATAAATACCTTTTTTTTTTTTTTTTTAAAATATAAGGCATTGAAGTAACAGATTAGAGTGTTTATACTATATTCTGGTGAAAGATGCCACATCACTTGACTGAAACGTGAACTCAGAATTCCCTCCCATAAAACACATTTATCATAACTTGTCACTTACAGGAAAAGAGAAAGGAACCCCATGGATATATTTGACATGGCCCGACATCGGTTGCAGGCTCCTGTCAGAAGACAGTCCCCGAAGGGCCTGGACCCCGCCACTTTTCAAAATATCCATGACTTTAATGAGCTGAAAGACAGAGGTGAGTAGAAGGCTATATTTTAAAGGCACAGCAGAGAGTGTTCTACCCATATTCAGGGATCTTTAAACATGTTTGTATCTTTTTTCTAAAGCAAAGGTTTTATGTATGGTATGTGTTTTAAGTGAATGGTACTTACGTATACCTTAGTTCATCCGTTTACCAGTCTGAGGCCTTACCTTGGCTAGCTGTGCTGTTAGAGCCTTGGCAGTGGGTCGGATCACACAGAAGAGTGTGAAGAATGGCCCTTGGAATTTAAGGGAGGGTGGATAGCGCACGATGAGCCTAGGAAAGATACTGAGAAGGAAAAACCATCGTGACTGGAGGACAAGCAGGAGAGTGTGGTACCCTGAGAGCTGAGGGAAGAGAATGTGTCAGAGAAGGGATTGCTCGGATGGGCACTGGGCAGTGTCAGTGCTGACCTCAGCCTGACCTGTTCTGTGAAATTATGGGATCAGAAGCCAATTAACTAGGCTATGTGTTGGAAGCAATTAGCATAAAACAAGTCTTGGAAGAAGCTTGGCTGGGAAGGAAGAGAGAAGGGTCCAGAGCTGGAGGAACTTTCTGGATGCTAATGTTTAGAGCTGTTCATAGGAGGAAGGGGTTTGGACACAGGAGAGGGAGAGCATCATGGGGGTAGAGAGTCGGGTGCCTGAGTAGACAGGAGGGATGCAGGGTGTTTAAAGGAAGAGAGTAAAGGAGGTTTGACGGAGCAGTAGGAGAGAGAGCCGACTCAGGAAATAGCGTGGCCAAGGTACACAGCGGCCTGGGGGCTAAAATGCCCGAGGAACGAAAATTTGTGTTGTATGTGGTATTTCTTTAGGGACTTTCAACAGAGTGTTGGAGTAGAAGAGGCAGAGTGTTGGATGTGTGCTCTGATGACTTATACCAGATAAACCAGAATTTGAACTTTTTTATTTTAAAAAGTAGTATCTATGATAGGAGTTTTAGAATACAGACAGACAAAAGAGGGGAAAATCACTTTCTGGACATTTTCTGGTCTTCATTCTGAGCCTAATTAAAGAAAAAAAATAAAATAAAAACAAGACGTAATTGTTATTTTCTCTTTTGTATTTTTACTTAGATTTACAAGTGTCATTAATTACATACACCATACTTAATCATTATGCTATCATTTATTATTTACTGTATTCCAGGCATTGTGTTAAGACAGTGGGTCTCAGGGTGGTCAGGGAACCTGTGAGGTCATAACTGGTTTTTATTACAACTAAGATGTTATTCATGTGTTTCACTTTTATTCTCTCCATGGCATGCGATGACTTCATTGATCTGAGGCTAACAGAATTCGTGCTCATGTGTACACGTTTTAAAACCTTTTCAGTGTTAATGTTTTAGTTTGGGCGGGGGTGTGAGAGAGAGAGACAGACTTTGAGGTCCTCAACTTTTAAGAGTATAGGGAGGCCTTGAGACCAAAAAGTTTTAAACAATAAAACTGAGCCATTCATTTCCCTATTACTCCTAGTTCTCATTTATCATGTGACTTAGTTGCTAATATCTCATTTTTAGAGAAGAAACTGAGTCTGGAGCTGGTGAAGTTCTGGTCCAATCCAGCCAAGTTTGTGTGTCCAAGTTCTCTTAGATTAACTTTGCTCTTACCCATTTTTAAGATCTTAGATCTACATAGTTTTTATTTTTTACTATATTTTGATAATTTCTGATCATAGTTAGGATCATTTCTTTAAATTATAACCCAGCAGTATGCTTAATAGGTCAAAGGGAATACTTTCAAGGCTTTTAAAATGAACTATTTTTATTCTCAAGATTAAAAAATTCAACGTTTAACGTTTTCATCCTGTTAAATCAGTCCTCCTGAATTGGTAGCATAGGTGAGTTCTTAGACTGTCATTTTCTCCAGTAATGACATCCCTCCTGAAGTTCTAGCCAGTCTGCTTTCCTGTTGCTTTTTGCATATTTGCAAGGGCTAAAATATTAGTTGGCCAATAACATAATATTTTCATTCTTCCCTTGTAGAATAGGGATTGGCCGTGCTTACACTGTCTCATGGCTGCCCGGGTTTTAGCCAGGGACTAACTGCGGGGTGTGCCTGCCCGAGTTGCCCCGCTGTCCGCTCTGAGTGGCATCTCGAGGGATTGGTGTGGTAGGGACAGAGAATGCGTCAGTAAGCTGTTGCTTGTTCTGGGGGCTTCCTTATAATGTTGCTAACTTTGTGAAAAGGCATTTCTTTAAAGAATATTAATTTTGTGTTTAGTTTTATGATGATTTTATGACCTTTGATTTTGATGATATCTCATTATTTATGTTGTTCCTTGATTTTGAAATTAAAGTTATGCATATGTTACAGTGAAGTTCCAGAAAACCTTGTTTGAAAGTAAGATTTAACAGTTTTATAACTTATTTTTTTTTGGACCAGATTCAGAAACACGAGTTGATCTGAAATTTATGTATCCAGATCCTCCAAGAGATCATTACACCTTAGAGATTCAGCAGCAAGCCCTGCTGAGAGCGCAGCAGAAGAGACTGAATAGACTAAAGATGCAGGAAGGTGCCAAAGGTAAGGAATAATCATTACTGTTTCCCATAGAATCAACAGGTTTTGTTGTCAGCTTCCTTTCTCCATCGTTTGTATTGATTGCAGTCCTGAGCAGGCCCTTTTTACTGGCAGCTCTGTGATCTCACGGCCCTTTGGCCTTTAGTCCCAGAGAAGGCTCTGATTGCCTTGGCTGGGGTCAGGGATCCATGCATGAGCAGGGCCTAGCCATTCACTGGAACCAGGAGGACTGAGTGCCTGAACTAGGCCCTGTGACACCAGGAACTAGGGTCCAAGGGGAGGAATGCTGGGTGAACAATTCAGTGCCCTGTAGGGCATTTATTGTGTGTGTCTGTTTTAAGTTTTGATACGGCATTAAGTCGAAAACATCAGCTTATACCCTATTGGAGAAGTTAGATGCTAAAAAGTGTAAGGCCGATGAATGCTGCAAGGGAGAAAGCTAGGGTCCCTTGCGAGTGCAACTGGGGCGACCGTTGGTCGGGCACCTGGAGGCAGAGTGGAGCTAGTTGCTTCAGAGCCTCGGTGGTCCCTGTTGACAGGGTGGGCGACTGCATGACCCTCACACGTATCTCACCAGCTCTGCCAGCCTTCAGGCCTTTGAGGGTGGCCATGGAACATGAGTCATAAAAATGCAAGTTGGGTAACAAGGGAAGGAAGCTATGGCCCTGTCAGTTGTATTTAGGAAAATTTCAGACCCTGCCTTGGAGGTCTGGTGTGGCCTGCACACCTGAGGAGCCCTTCTCGGCCACATGGGAGGATCACAGGAGTAAGAGGCATGGAGCGCTTTAGACCTGGGTAACGGTTGATGTAGAGGAAGTTTTCCCTCCATCTGATACAGAATTTTAAACAATGGTTCCATAGATCACCCTATGACAGCAGAATAATCCAAATTATGTGACAAATAGTGGGCATGTGGTCAGGAGAGAAGAGATGAGCAAGTACGTTCTTCACCTTTATATCTGTTAGTGGAATTTTTCTTTAGGATGCCCAAAGGTAATCCCCAGTTTGACACTGAGGGCATCCACCCCCCCAAAGCAGACACCCCCTCTTCTAACAAACACTATGGTGACTTAATTCATAAGAATACAGTTTCACTATAAGATGATCACAAACATATCTATAAAATATTCTGAAAAGGAATACGAATACAGGCTATCTTTGGCCATCTCTTCCCAACGGCACTATCTAAAAGGAGAAAATGTACTATTTAGAGGAACACACAGGGATGCTGGTCAAATTGTAGAGGGGCCTTTGGGACAAGTGATTCTAAAATCTTTGCCCCTGGAACCAGGTGCCTGGAACCAGGCTAACTTCCTTTAATCAGATGTGAGGAAGCCCCCGTTGAACTCTACTTAACAGACTGTAGAATTATGAGAAGATGGTGAAGAATACTGCATTGTTTTCTTTTTCTCTAGGCATCAGCTTCAAGTTCACAGTGATCTTCCTTTTCATATTCATTAATGTGAATGGGAGAATTTTATCCAACCTAGAATAATAGTGGATTATATTTATTAATAAGCAAGTAATACCTCGAAAACAGTCTGTAATGTGATGGTTGAAAAGTAATTTCCATCAGAGTCACAAAAGATACTCTAAAGTTCATTTTATTTTTTAAATGTTTTCTAACCTTTCCATTTGTTTTTTTTCTCTGTTGATGCCAGTGGACTTGGATGCCATCCCCAACACTAAAGCCCGAGAGCACAGAATGGTAAGGGGCCAGTTTTACTATTTCAAGCTAGTTTTGAGGGGATAAAACTTTTTAGAAACATGACAAGTGAGTATTCTAATTTTGAATTTTCAGGCATATTGAATAAAGGATTTTAAATCTTGTCTCATCAGTGCAGTGGGTAGCTAGAGATGTACTAGTGGAGAAAGTATATTGTAAGACTAAGAACAAGACTCTAGTTTGTTTTTAGCTTGTGACTTCAGGCAAGTTATTTAATCTTTCTGTGACTCAGCTTCCTAATCTGTGAAATGGGGTAACTGTACTTGCCTCTGAGGGTGGCTATAAGAATTAAATTGATTAATATTGCAAGGCACTAAGGGACAGGCCTAGCATATAATAATTTAATGTTTATTAAGTAATAAAGAGCTCAAGGGTTGTGAGAGTTGAGATATTACATTAAAAGCCCCTAGAATCAGACCTGGCCCATCATGAGTGTGCAGTAAGTGTTTGGTGTCCATATTAGCTGAAGTGGTCAGGCTTACAGAGAAAATAAGTAAAGTAAGGGTGTCACTCTTACCCTGAGGAGGTGATGTCTATGCAAAGACTGAAAAAGAGTAAGAGATGAGCCATTTTCACTCAACAAATATTTACTGAATTCTTACTATGGACCAAATACTATTCGAGGTGCTGGAGATATAGGAGTGAATGAAAAGAACAAAAATCCCTGCCCTCTGTGGATTTACATTCTAGTAAGAGGGAGAGACAATAAATGAATATATAAAATATATAGTATCTTAAGTTTTGGGGTTCTGGAGAAAATGGTAGCTGGGAAAGGGGGTACTGGGGAGTATCGGGGGTTCCAGGGTGAGACAGTTTAGTTTGAAGTACAGTGATGATGGAAGGCATCAACGAGTAGGTAACATTCAAATAAGGCCCTCAGCGAGGTGGGGCCCGTCTACAGGGAGCTGAGGCCGCAGGCAGTGGGGCGGGCTGAGGCGGCGGTTGGAGAGGGGAGGCCAGAGTGCGTGCAGGGAGCAGTGCAAAGGCCTGGGAGGCCTGAGAACTCTGAGTCCTCCGGAGAGAGGGGGAGAGGGGGAGACGGGAGGAGAGGGGGCGGGCTGGACTAGAGGGCCTCGCAGGCTGACAAAGGTTATTGCCTTCTACATGGTGAATGTGTTGAGAAGCTTCCATCGTTTTTCAGTAAAGGAGTGATGTGATTTATTTCATGTTTTACCATGATCCCTGACTGCTATTCATTGAGAACGGCCGGAGGGGGACAGGAAGCTACTGCCGTAGTCTAGGTGAGAGAGAGGTGCCGAAGACTGGGCTGGAGCAGTGGAAGTGGAAAGGAGACCTGATAGGATTTTTGGCATAATGAACGTTGGGTACCGGAGGAGTCCAAGATGGGCTTCAAGGTTTTTGGTTTCGAGTTGCTTTTTACAGAGGTCGAGAAATAGAAAAAAATTTATGGCAGGGGGAGAAAATCAAACTTAGTTTTAGATGCGGTAAGTTTGAGATGCCTGTTAGACAGTTGGAGCTTGCAAGTAGATAGACAAGGGACAGAATTCAGGTGAAAAGATCGAGTTTGGAAGTAAATTTAACCTTCACCCACATTAATGGTACAGGTAGCATTATCCTCATTTTCAGATGATAGAAGTGAAGCCCAGCTAGGTTGCTGGTAGCTCAGGGTTACCAGTTGGTAGCTGTGGGTGCTTGGTTTTAAACTGATAATGATAACAGTGTTGCTAATAGTTACCACAGCACACACTGTACCTGTGCCAAGTATTTGACATTTATTTCTTTTAAGTTCACACCAAGGCTGCTTATCCCTGTTTAGATAAGAGGAAACTGCTAGCTATAGTCACAGTCAGTCAATGAGTAGGTAAACCCAGATTTGAACCCAGGCTGGACTCTAGAGCTCCTTGTCCCTACGCTATGTGGCCTGAGCTGCATTGGCACCTATTCCTGCATACTCTGCAGTTCGATAGGTTTCCTTATACGTGGCAACCACACTTCTCAGTGAAAATATACTCAAATTTAACATTTAGATTGTTAGTTAAAATGATAAAACCATATTCTGTGGAATATGCAGCGTAAGCCAACAGTTTATCTTGGCTTTTACATAAAAGCTCAAATTTGGGGGTCCTCATTTTCCTGGAAACTGGTTGAGATGGAAACCACACGATGAATCTGGGAAGACTGTCGCGGAGAAGACGGCCGAGGCGGGCTCGCAGTCCGTTCACGTGTGAAGGGGCCGTGGTGCAGGAGAGGGTGGGCACCAACAGCTGGCTCAGACCACGTGGTCAGCAGTGGGTGCCCTTATCCGCACCGCAGTCACTCCCAAGCTGGAGAGCAGAAGTAGAGGCAAGGGGTGTTAAAAAGGAGATTTAAATTCAGTGTAGGGAGGAATTCAGTGAAACAGGAGAGCTGTCTGATAACCTGTGCTGTTAACAGTGGAATGTGATTCCTCAAAAAATGACAGCTCTTAACTGAGTGTTCCAGCGCATCCTAGAAATCCGGTGGGGAGGTGCAGGGAAGTAATGTCGCCTCTCATTTGGAGAGCTCATTAGGAGCCCCACTCTAGCATTATTTTTTTAACCCTCCTGCATGTCCCTCTAGATCTGTGCTCTGCCTTTGCGGCAACAGCAGTCACACAGAGCTGCCATTATCGGAGGGCTTGCCTCGCCCACAGGACTGCTCTTTCCAGAGCAGAAACTCTTACTCATTTTTGCATCTCCAGATCCTAGCATGGAGAAATTGAGCGCTATACAGATTTATTGAAAGATCGAATGAATCTTGGCAATGGTTTAAAGATTTATGTTTAATTGGGTTCATTGCTTCATACTCTGTTTTCATCAGCAGTAATATAACCCTTAATAAAGGGGTTTTTCCTATGTTTTCTGAGCATTGGAATGTAGTGTGGGAGGGAAACAGCCATACTACCTCTCCCTATCCTATTTTGCTAATTTTTGAGACAGCGTGGAAACATATGCCTCTTAGTACAAATGTTTTTCCACCTGGGACTAATAAAAATAGTATTAATATATGATGTTTTTTTTAGCCCAGAGATGACACTAATGATTTCTTGAAAAATTCATTATTGGAATCTGATAGTGCTTTTATTGGTGAGTATATTTATTTTACCAGTCTGTTTGTTACAATACAGGGCTTATAAGGTTTTCCGAATAGAATAATTAAAATTAACACGTCATAGGAAGGACTTCCAGTCTAGATGTGGCATAGGTAAACGCTGTGCTTGCCTCCTCCCACACCCACATCAGAATCACAATGAAAGTATAGAACAGCAATCACTGAGAATCACCTGAAGGCCAGCTGAACAGAAGTCCTACAACTAAGGATAGAAAGCAGCAGCCATATCGAGAGTGTGAAGGAGGACGGAAACATAGAACTGGCAGGTCCCGCACACAGTGGATGATTAAGAAATCAGGAGGGACATCTTGGCTGCAGAGGTTCAAACCTCTGGGGAACAAGGGGTTTCAGCTCCACACGGCATTCTCCAGCCTTGGATACCAGAATTGGGAAGACAAGTCCCCATAACATCTGGCTGTAAAAATCAGTGGGGCTTTGGTTGAATGTGATACTGAGGGCTTCTGGGGTTTCTCTCTCTCTCTCTCTCTCTCTCTCTCTCTTTTTTAAATTTTATTTATTTTTAGACAGAAGGGAGTGAGAAAGAGAGGGAGAGAAACATCAATGTGTGTGTGGTTGCCTCTCATGTGCCCCCCACTGGGGACCTTGCCCGCAACCCAGGCATGTTCCCTGACTGGGAATTGAACCGGTGGCCCTCTGGTTCACAGGCCAGTATTCAGTCCATTGAGCCACACAGTCAGGGCTGGGGTTTCTCTTGAAGGGCCTGTGCCTGGACTCACAAACTCAACTTGCTTTAAGCTTGCAGGAGCAGTGGCTTGAAATCACACTCCTTGATTTCAAATTATACTACAAAGCTATGGTAATCAAAACTATATGGTATTGGCAGAAAAAGGACACACAGAACAATGGAACAGAATTTAAAGCCCAGGAATAAACCTGCATGTGTGTGGGCAACTAATTTATGCAGAGGAGCCAAGAATATACAGTGGAGAAAGGAAAGTCCTTTAAATACACAGAAGAAAACAGGCATTGAGCTTTTTGTCTTTGTGGTGTTTTGTGGAATTTGACTCCAAAGACAAGGGAAACAAATGTAAAAGTAAGTGGGATTGCAGCAAACTAAAAATTTCTGCATAGCAAAGGAAACCATCAACAAAAGAAAAAGGCAACCAACTGAATGGGAGAAGATATTGTAAATGATACTTCCCATAGAGAAGTACCTAAAAGGTAAGTGTACTCCCCTGTTCACGGCAGCATTATTTACACTAGTCAAGACTGGAAATAACAAATGTCCATCAATGGATGAGTGGATAAAGAAGATATGATAATGTATATGTAATATTATGTACACAATGGGATATCACAAAGTTAAAAAAAGATGAAATGTTGCCATTTGGAACAACATGGATGGATCTCGAGGGACTATCTTCAGTAAAATAAGTCAGAGGGAAAGGGACAAAGTCCATATGATTTCACTCATATGTGAAATATAAAACAAGGTAACATATGAACTAAGAAAACAAGAAACCAAACTCACAGATACCGACAGCAGAATGGGGGTTACCAGTGCAATGTGAAATGGGTAAAGCAGGTCAGTCATACAGTAATGGAAGGAAACTAGACTTTTGGTGATGAACATGCACTGGAGTGTACAGGTCAAATTACAGTGTTGTACATCTGAAATTCATATTATTAACCAATGTTATCTCAATAAAAAAAATAAAACTAAAAAACCCCAAATACCCCACAATATCATTTACATCAGTATTTACCCTAAAAAAGAAATACTTAATATAAGTCTAACCTCTCCCCCCGAAAAAAAGGTTAATATGGGGACAACTACAAACTCTTATGAAAGAAAGAACTCGGTTCTTCCCAACTTGATCTATAGGGTCAATGCAAACCCAGTCAAAATCCCAGCAAGTTATTTTGTGGATAACTGATTCTAAAGTGTATAAGGAGAGGGAAAAGAACCAATATAATATTGAAGAACATAACTGGAGGATTAACACTACCTGACTTCAGGACTTACTATAACATTACAGTAGTCAAGATGGTGTGGTACTGGCAAAAGAACAAAGAGATCAGACTGGAGTGTATAGAAATAGACCCACACAAGTATAGTCACCTGATCTTGGACAAATGAGCAAAGGCAGTGCCAGTGAGGAAAATCATCTTTTCAACAAATGGTGCTAGAACTGGACACCTATATGCCTCCCCCCCAAAAAAAGAGAAAGAAGAAAAGAGAAAAGGAAGGATCTTAACGAAGACCTTCACAAAAATCAACTAAAAGGGACGTCAGACCTAAATGTAAAATGCAAAACTATAAAACTCTTAGAAGATAACATGGGAAAACACAGAAGAACTTGAGTGTGGCAGTGACTTTTTAGATACAACAATGATAGTACGATCCATGAGAGAGATAATTGATGAAATAGACTTCATTAACAGTCAATGTTCTGTAAAAGACAATGTCAAGAAAACAAGACGACAAGCCACAGAGTGGGGAAAAAAATATTTGGAAAAGATAACCTGTGATATAGGACTGTTATCCAAAATATCCAAAGCACTCTTAAAACTCATCAATAAGAATAATCTAATTAAAAGATGGGCAAAAGATCCAGACACTTCATTAAATAAGCATATGAACAGATACTCCACATAATTATCAGGGAAATGCAAATTTAAACGCAACAATGAGATACCACTACACATCTATTAGAATGGGCAAAATCTAAAACACTGACAACACCAAATGCTGGTAAGGATGTGGAGCAACAGGAATTCTCGCTCCTTGTTGGTGGACTACAAACTGGTTCAGCCACTTTGGAAGACAGTAAGGTGATTTTGTACAAAAATAAACATACTAATCTTACTGTACCATCCAGCAATCGCACTGCTTGGTGTAAATGTTTAAGCACTATGCTGTACACCCAAAACTGATACACTTCACTATTGAATGTCAACTGTCATTGGACACTTTTTTAAAAATTAAAATACAATACCAAACGTTGGTGAAGAAATGAGAAAACTAAAACTTTGCCATAATGTAAAATGGGTAGAACCACTTTTGCAAATGGTTTGGCATTTTCTCAAAAAGGGTAAATGTAGAGTTATCCAGCAATTTCATTCCTAGGAATATACCCCAAAAATATGAAAACATGACCACAAAAAGTCATGTACATGAATGCTTATACTAGCACTAACAATTGCCAAGTAGAAACAATTTAAATGCCTATCAACTGGTGAATACTGTTCAACAATGAAGATGAACTCCTGATGTTACAACATGGATGAACCTCAAACACAGGCTAAGTGAAAGACAGCGTATTACATTGTGTAATTACTCGTACATGGATTCTCAGGAAAGGTACATCCATTGGAGATGAAAGCATACCAGTGTTTACATGGGGCGGGGCGGGCAGGGCGGGCGGGGCAAGCGGGGCGCGACTGCCAGCGAGCACAAGGGGACTTTCTGAGGTAATAGAAATGTTCTAAAACTAGATTATAATGATTGCACAATTCCATAGAAGTCATTGAACTATGTGCATTTATGGTGGGTGAATCTTATTATATATAGAGAACATCTTAAAACTAATAAAAAGCAATCTTGGTTTAGCTGAGTAAAAAGATTTGAAGTGGGGGTGTTTATGACTTCTCATTCCTTCTAGGTGCTTACGGAGAGACCTACCCTGTCTTTGAAGAGGATGCTGCCCTTCCACCGTCGCAGCCGCCCTCTGCAAGGGAGCGCAGGAGGAGCAAATTGGAAGGGCTGGCCGTTGTATGTGTAAACTCTCCTTTTCTTTTTTCTCTTTTCAGTTTAGGAGTAAGGTTTGGGTTCTGTCCCACGCTAAATTGGTGTGGTCCCATAAAGAGGACTTGTACCCTCGCTGGATTCCTTTTTATTGATGAACAATATTCCATTTATGGATATTCCACATTTTTAAATCCATTCAACACCTGATGGACATTTAGGCTGTTTCCACTTTTTGTCTGTTAATAGTACTGATGCTTTTAACATTCGTGTACAAGGTTTTTTTTTTGATGTTTTCATCTCTTTTGCATATATACCTAGAATTGTTGGGTTATGTGGTAACTATGTTTTCTACTTTTATCCATTCTAGTAGTTTCTGTGTTGTCACAAATGCAATACCTTCATCTCAGCCTGGAATTAGAATATAAGTGCTATAGATTTGCATTTTTTTTATTTTGTATATCACACTGTATACTTATCAAGGGCAAAAACATGTTTTGATTCACTTATTTATTCTGAACATATGTTATGTTAATGATCATTTCTGAAGCTCTGTTTTCTGACTACAGGATAACAGTCGTCCTAATATGCTACCAGACAGTCTCTCTTTAAAATCTGAATCCAGTGTAAACATTGATCAGATTAGAATGAGAAATGAGGAACGAATGCGAAGACTGAATGAACTTCAGAATAAACCTGTTAATACAGGTAAATGGCTAACTTCAAGGGCCTATATATAGCAAATTCTGTAAGAACTTTTAACTTGCTTACGTGGAAGTTTTCACTTGTGACTGCGGGACTGATGCAGTGAGTTTTGAGATCCTTTTGAGGTGCAGGGCCTGTAACACAGCTACCCAGGATTATTTAACATCAGATTTTCTACCAGAGAGGGTATATCCTTTTTTGAGTGGATTCTAAACAGATAAAAATTTTGCTTATAAAGATATCCAGGCTTTGCAGGGAAAATGATCATTAGTATCAGCATCACACTTCCCTTAATGAAGTGAGAGATTATCAGAAATTAACTTTAAAACTTTTGAAGTTTTTAAGATAATACATTATAAATTTGTAATACTTCAAAGAAAATTGCTTTACCTTTTTATAAAACATTTTTTAAAGATTTATTTATTTTTAGAGGGGAAAGGAGGGAGAAAAAGAGGGAGAGAAACATCGATCAGTTGCCTCTCGTACACAAACTCGAAATCCAGGCATGTGCCCTCACCGGGAATTGGGTGACCTGACCCTTTGCTTTGTGGGATGGTGCCCAACCACCTGAGCCACACTGGTCAGGACTTTTTCACTTTTTACTTGGCTTTCAGTACTGTGGACACAAGTAGTCTCAGGTTAATTATTTCTTTTTCATAAGTCACAGTTTGGTGTTCTTATCACATTGGGCTTTGTTATCATTGCTGTGGTGACCGGCAGGTGAAAGCTGTTCATCAAGCACAGGCAGGCAGGACAGCTCCCCAGGCAACCCAAGATCTCTTCTGCCAGCCCTGGGCCACCTTTTCAATGTTGATGTTATTGTTAGGATAATGGGACAGTTTTTTAATGCATAAGTCCTATTGTATTGTTAGTTTTAGCAAACAGTAGTCTAGTTGGATAACTTTCCTTAGTCTATTAAGCTATGTTACAAAAATTTTCTTACAGCAAGATATTTTTAGATCTTACCTTTAATACTGTTAATTTAAAACTACTCATACAGTCTCGCTACCAGTCAAGATGCCATGTGCTCTGATGACAATGCCATACCAAACACTGGCAAACAGAAAATAGATGGAGTAGTGCTTTTCATATCATACCTAGAAAAATACGGAACAGTGGAAAAGCAATTTTATTTTTTAAGCTAAAAAGCATTTTCTTTTAATTTGTATTGCAAGTTTCCTGTTTCTCAATTTCTTTTAGAACCAGTAAGTTGAATATTTAACAGTGATATTTTTAAATTGAGAAGACAGCAATATGAGAATTTACTCTTTCAGAAGGTGTTCAACTTCTAAACTTTTTTTTTTTTTTTTTTTAACATTGTCCTTTCAAACAGGAGCTTTTTGGTACCATGTGGATTGATTGCTCATTAAATTGGTTGCACAGGTCCCTTTGCTGGGCTAATCCTTCACAGACCAGGAGATGTAATTTAAAAAAAACAAAAAAGAAATTGACATCACAGGGTAGGAAGACAGATTTTCCTATTATTATATCTATAAGTAAAACAGATATAGGAATATAGTCAATTCAATTAAAAAATGAAACAAATTAAGAGCTCTGTTATTGGAGTAGACACAACCTCTTAGAATGGTGTAAGAATGGAAGTAATCTCATCCCCATCTAGTGCTTTCCTGAAATGATTTTTCATACTCTTATAGCAGTGTTGTAGGTTATGAGTATTTCCAAAATCTTGTTAAATCAAAGTTTTGCATGGTATCCATTGAACTTCTGGAGGTGACACAAAATAAAACGACTCACATTCCTACCGCCAATCTAATGTTGGCCGTGGCTGCTGCTGCTCTCTTAGGGGTGGATTCCTATGGTACAAATGCCTTGGAGTTTCCTTCAGTTGCATTTTTTTTTTGTTTTTGTTTCATGAAACTGGCCCCCTTCCCAGGTTTGCTTTCTTACCTCTAAAATGAGGCGTGTCTGGTCAGAACCCATACAGTTTAGGATGTAACATTGCAGGGAAAGGCAGAGCTGTACAGGAGACTTATGTTCACATCCCCTGCCTGCCACCCAAGTCACGTCTCTCTTGCCTCCTTTAGATGACGAGAGTTCACTGGTTGACCCTGATGATATCATGAAGCACATGGGTGATGATGGATCAAGCTCTGTAGCAACTGAACCCTGGCTCCGCCCAGGCACCTCAGAAACGCTGAAACGATTCATGGCAGAGCAGCTGGACCAAGAGCAGCAGCAGGTTCCTGGAAAACCAGGCACTTTCAATTGGCAGGGCCTGTCTACTGCACATGGTTAAAATAAATCTTTATTGGGCTCAGCAGTGCCTTTTAAGGTGAAAGGAATGTTTACTCTGAACCTTTAATATTATGTGCTACTTTGACACCTACCTGAAAGTTATTTATGTTCCATGTATAAAGTGTATTTTTTCCACTTTGATGTATATAATGTACCTTATGTACATAAATAAAAAGCCATGGTTAATTTATATACAATGTAGAATTGTATAGAATTATTTTTTGCACATTTTTGCCATAAATCAGGGTGGTAATGAACTAATGTTATGTGCATTATTGTAAATTGTCAGCAAGATGGAAAAAACACAAGTATCTCAACAGTCCTTTAAAACCAGAAAACCTATTATGTATTTGTTATTGCTATTGAAAATAATTCATTAGTAAATATATTGGCTGTAGCTGTGACTATTCCAGCTGCTACATAATGAATCAAATTATTTCCATCATTTAGAACTACTAATTCAGTATAAATGATGGGAGTCATAGTTGATTTTATTTCCATGAGCCATGCACTAAATGTTACATCTTTCTGTTTTTGTGCCAATTAAGTTTACTAATTTATATGATTTCACTTCTTGATAGAAGAAATAAATTATATTTTATTACCAATGCTGATTTCTTAAGTGGAATTGATGTTGCTAGACAAGGTGTTCTCGAAGTTGGAGAGAGGCAGGGACACCCAGGGTCAAGGATGGACTGCAATCCTTGCTGCACCACCATGGACCCTTGATTAAGTGACTCAGTCTTTTAATCACTCCATAAGAGGTACCTTTTAAAAAGATTAAATTTTGGGAAATAATTATTTAGCGCCTTTAGCATGACAGCCGACAGGACTGCAGGCACTGCTTCCTGCACACTCCCTTCCACTGGACATCATTAAGAGCAGAGACGATCAGATACGTTCACCTCAAGTGTGGGATTTCCGGTACTTTGAATCTTAGCTGCATGTAAATTTTATACTCAACTTGTAATCTAACCATTGTTTACTAGAAAGAGTTTTTATATCTTCCTCTGAAAGTTAGATGAAGGCCTCTGTCTCCTCTTGGGAAAGTCTTGGTACTAAACCATGAAATGACAGACTGACTGCCAGGTTATTTGAAGCACTCACCTCTCAGACAGAAGGGAAGGCCAAGGCGGCTCGGAGATACCCGCGGGGGAGACTTCCAGCTGCAGTGCCCAGCTGGGCTGAAACAGGGCTCCATCTTGGGGTGATGAATATAGTTGACTTATGAAAACTACTCATTATCTAAGAGGTGTGAAAGCAAAAACTGAACACTTACTGTTTTTGAACACAGCCCTCAAGATAACTTCTCTTGACATGCTAATGTCCCTTGTTAATGCACCACTCAACTTGAAATGACTTCTGGGACACACAATGCCCTACTGCCACCTGCCCCGAAGGGAACACGGTTGCTTTTTCTTACTATTGAAATAGTGTAGCATTATTCTGGGTTATCAAATACTCAAAATACTAATATGAATATCCTATAGTTGAGAAAGCAGGGTGTGTGGGCAAATCTAATGTCAGCGCTGGAAAGAAACTTTTAAAACTAAAAGAATACTGAATTTGTAATTCTGGCAGAAAATACCCTTCCCCTAGTTGTCTTTTAATTGAAAAAAAAAAAAAATCAATAAAACATGGGGCCATAGATTACACAGGTTTTGATTGCACTGATGAAATAATCCAAAAACTTTATTGATCTATATAACCTGATTAGAATATGCCAGATGAGAATCAATATTGTACAGAAAGTTGTACAGAATTTTTTACATAGAAAACTTTACATCTGTACCATATACATTTTATCCATCTGAAAAAATTTTCTACATCCACTGTTAATACGGAATGCTTGACAATCTTGTCATTTTTTAACCATCGGAGCACAATTCACAGTATGAATACATTTCCAGTAAATCTACTCTCCCCAAACCATGCCAGAGTTGTTACTTTAATATATTCAACATTAAATTCTGTACATAGGAGTAAAATCTACATCAAGCCCCGCCACCCAAAAGAAAAGAAAGTGACAGCGACCTAGATTCATTTGCAGTGATTCAAGTTTCGGTCCATGAAGGATCATTCTATTTTAATGGCTCATCTTTAAAAGCCCTAAGAGAAGTATATTACAGGTAGTTATGTCAAGAGGGATATTTTTTACCCTTTTTTTTGTTGTTGATCATGACAGGTGTCGGCCACACAGCTTCTGGGTAGGTTAAACCTTCAAAATTACCAACCCCCTCCTCCCAAAGGGCAAATCCAAAATCCCCATAAAATAAAAAAAGACAAAAAGTTCAACCCAAATTCTTAGTGCATTTGACAAATTATTATAGGTATTTAGCAAATGAATAAGAAAATAAAGAAATAAAACAGTGCAAGAAGAACTATATAATGTTTAAGATTTTTATATTACAGACCTGCATCTCTGTACATTTTTTCACAGAAGGATGATTACCAGTATCTCAGATAGCCTGAGTGTGCAAAAATTTCAGAATAAGAATACCATAGTTGCTAAATATCTTTTACCATGAACAATAATTTCTTCTCCCCCCCACTCCCCAATTATAAACTTTTTATCCTTCAAAATACAGCTCTCCTGAGTTGTACTTCTTGCAGAAGTTCGCATCTTTACATCTACAGTTCTTTGGGTAAGTTTCACTTCCAAACCTGCCAAAAATATGTGGGGCTCTCCCTGCCACTGAGGACAGGGAAGGACACAGGAGCATAAGCTGACGCTGGACATGGGCTTCCTCAACATGAGCCCAACATGGCAAACAGTATCCATCACTGAAAGGGACTGGAGAGTTGCAAGATTTGAGTTCTAGTTCTAAGCATCTTTACCAGTAACCCGTAGACACTGAAATTCAGAGAAACCATTTTTCAGGTAGAAGACCTCAGCTCAAGGGTCCTTTTAAAGAGCAGAGGGATGTAAACGCCATGAGGAAAATATTAAGTTCCCATCATTGCTTGTGTATTCCGAGATCCTGTTCAGACGGTTGTGATATCTGGAAAACTACTCCAATTCGCAGAAAGAATCTTCTAAGCACAGCACGAAGTTCAGGGATCAAGTCAAACTGCATAATTTCACATAGGAGAGGGTAGTAGAACGATGCATGAGCTTTAAACTGGGAGGGAAAATGAATTTCTCCATTAGTAGTGCTTGCATTCCCAACCACAGAACCTGAAACTCGCTTTAGTGCCAAATCTCTGTGGGGTGAGCACTGACCACTGCAGAAAGGACTGCGTGAAGCAATGATGCACTGGTTATGGAAGTGAAAGACCAGGGGTTTCCCAAAGACTCACTTCATACATACAGTGTTCACCTAGTTATCTACTTCATTTTGAAAAACATTTTCCAACTACATTTCCTTGACAAGCGTTCAGTATTTATTGCTGTTTCTTCCAGGTAATAAAGAGGCCCAGCAGCAACCACAGCTGAGTTTTTTATAAGCTACATATGAGTTACTGAAACCATCTTTTATTTGTTAAATAAAATTTAAATTTTCAGGAGAAATTCTACCTAACATTGCAATATAAACTATTCAATCTCTAGGCTAAAGTTATACATTTCACATTCATAGTTTGGAACTGATATACTTTGGCTCTATCAAGCTAGAACTGCTGGGCTGCCTATGATGTCTCATACTTACCCTGTTATCGCTTATCTTTAGAACTTTAGTTAGAAACAAAAGCAGTAAATTAGTCCAGGCCTCCCGATGACTCTCTGACGTTAGGGTAAGGAAGTAACTTAGTGCTTCACTGCACACACTGCAACAGAAAAGGTTCACTCTTACATGTGCTTGTACACTTACTGTATGGACATTCACCAAGAAAGATCTAAGGCATGAAGGGTAAAGCCCTGGCCGGGTAGCTCAGTTGTTCAAAGAGCAGCATTTTCAACCTTTTCCATCTCGTCACACACAAACTAATTTCTAAAAATCTGTGGCAAGGCAAAAAGTGTAATTTTGCCACAAAAATAACAGGTATAATTTTGATTCATTCATACCAAAAGGCTACTGTTGTGTTGGCTGTTGTCATTTTCTTATTTGACCACCTAAGGGAAAAGGGCTCAGTGCACGTGATTAGTCAGGTGTTGCAAGTTTTAAAAGTCTTGTGGAACACTGGTGTGCTGCGGCACAACAGTTAAAAATTGCTGGGTTAGAGTGATGTCCCGGTACGCTAAGGTTGTGGGTTTGATCTGTGGTCAGGGCACATACAAGGATCAACCAATGAAGGAATAAATAAGTAGAACAACAAGTCAATGTTTTTCCTTCTCTCTCTCAACTCAATTTTAAAAACTTAGAAGATGTGGAGGGTAATGAATATTAACTGATAGGAACCTGCACACACACACACACACACACACACACACGCACGCACGCACGCACACACGCACGCGCGCGCCCAGCCATTGTTAATATAACTAGAATGCTATGCTGAACATTGATGTAACCTGGCAGCCAAGGAGAGATGACTGGAATGTGCCTGTGTGAACAATGACGACTTCACTGTTCTAGTCAGTGGGCAGCAGACACCACTGAGCGAGCGAGTGTATGTACTGCGTGCCCATCGCGTTCAATATGACTGAGTAGAGCAACAAATCTGCATCAGATTTTGCATTAAGCTTGAACATTCCTCCATGGAAACTATCTGGATGATTGAGAAGGCCGCAGCTATGGGCAACTGCTCACTGGCAGCTTCATCATGACAACACACCTGCTCATGCATCACGTCTCACGCAGAATTTTTTGGTGAAACAAATAATCGCCCAGGTGACTCAGCCCCACTACAGCCCAGATTTGGTGCCCTGCAACTTCTGGCTTTTCCCAAAACTAAAATCACCTGTGAAAGAGAAGCGATTTCAGACAGTTGATGAGATTCAGGAAAATACAATGGGGTCCCTGATGGTGGTGAGGAGAGCTGTGTGAGGGTCCAAAAAACCTACTTTGAAGGGGACTGAGGTGTCACTGTCCTATGTACAACGTTTCTTGTATCTTCTTCAATAAATGTCTTTCATAGTACATGGCTGGATACTTCCTGGACAGACCATGCACACGCACTTTTTTTTTTTTTTTTGAATCCTCACTTGAGGATATATTTATTGATTTGAGAGAGAGAGAGGAAAGGAGACAGATGTTGATGTGAGAGAGACAGCCACTGGTTGCCTCCCGTACGTGCCCCGACAAGGGATCAAACCTGCTACCTAGGCCTGCGCCCTTACAGGGACTGAGCCTGCAACCTTTTGGTGTGCATGACGACGCTCCAACCAACTAAGCCACCTGGCTAGGGTGGAACTTTTTATATTAAAGAATATCAGCATAAATATTTATGTTTTCAAATTTGGAAGAAACCAGATATTAAAAGAAGGCACTGAAACTTAACAGGAACCCACATTTCATACTTTTCTAAGTTTCATTGAATTCAAACTGAACATGCAG